TGGCTTCGGTAGTGATTTCATAGAGGCACAGATGTCAACATATAATGGACAATGGTCCGAGACTCCAGGAGCTTGAATGTGAACCTTACTGTCCTTTACCAAATCTAACCAAGCAAAGTTAACCAGGACTCTATCTAGTCTCTTAGCAATAGGATTGGCAGCTTGTTTATTTAACCAAGTGAACCATGGCCTCGTTGCTTGATGCTCTTCTAGTTCAAGATCATTGATCCAATCATTAAACCCCCATCATTCGAGAATCCACTATAGGAGAGTTTGAGGCTTCTGAAGGAGTCCTAATATCATTAAAGTCACCCAAGACAATCCAAGGAGCCTGAGTCACATTAATTCTTCTCAATTCATTATATAGCTCCCTTCTGCTAGCTTCCTCATTTGAAGCATAGACAACTGTTCCAAAAAAACAACTGTAGCCCACCAACCATAAACTGTATGTACTGATCAGATGAGTGCAAAACAGTGAACTGAATGTCCTTTTTCCAGAGTAGCCAAATTTTCCCCAGGCCATTTTAATTATGTTGAATCTTCTTCTTCCAATCTGGGAATCTCTTCTCAACTAGCTTATCTGTCTCAGAGGATCTTATTCTAGGTTCTAGTATTGCAACTATGTCTATATTGTACTTGTTTATCTTCTTAAGTATAACTGTGTATTTACCTTCTGCTTTAAACCCTCTCGTGTTCCAGGTAAGGATTTTCATCGCTTACCTCTTCCCCTTCCACCTTTACCTCCTTTCTTTGGTTGAATGGGAACCAAAGGAGAGTCCACCCAAACTTTCTTTCCTTTGTCAATAAGAGGCTGCCTGTTTTCTTTCCCTGTATCTCCCTGAGTTGTCTGAAGTCGATGGCTCCCAGTCGTTGGTGACCTTCCACTAACTCATGCCCACCAGCAGCAGAATTCCCACCTACAGGTGGTGATCCCATCACTATCTGAGCAAAACTGAGCGGAGAGCCCCCATTTGAGGAAGGAGCTTGAGCAGCCACACTCTTTTCAGTTACACTAGTCTCACCTTCAGGGTTTGGTTCCTTGTCACCGTCTCCCCCTTGTGTTGTCTCCATTGTAATATCAGTATTCTCAACTTCCACTGCAGTAGTAGTCTCTGCCTCTGTAACACCCCCAGTTTCCAGCCCCTCTATCAGCAGGTTAACCATTTCACCACTATCAGCAGGGCCCTCATTGTTTTGCAATTCCCCATTCGTTCCATTTCCATGAGCCCCCTCAGGTTGTTGTACCATATCTTTATCCACTACCCCAACTACCTGTCCCTCAGTTACCAATTGCTCTTGTTCACCCTCATTTGTAGTCTGCACATCCTTAACCCTCCACTGTTTCACGGGCTCTTGTGCACAACTATGCCCAAATAGGCAGCACTTCGATCACACTTTCGGCAGGTGTGAGTACTCCAGACCAATTTCAAAGTCAGGGTCATTATCAGGGTAAAACCTGGCCTTATCAAGGAACCCACAATCTGCAGCAACTTCAACACAGACTTTCGCAAACCCCAGCTGAGCGCCTACCCTAGTCTTCTGGTCAGTCCAGAGCGGCTTCCCAATCACACTTGCAACCCATTCAACCCCATCACTACCCAAATATTCAAGAGGTAAACCCCTAATCGTGACCCAGATCGGTAGCGTAGCAACCTTTGGCACCACTGGTTGAATGCCCACTTCCCACTTCCGGAAAAAAAATCGGATTCCCCTTGAAATGCCACGGCCCCGAAGTGAAAACCCACTCACACGAAGAAGGAGAAGGAAACTGGAAAATCAAAAGCTTCGGACCAAATCGCGATACCCTCACAATACCATCTCTCCCCCATAGCTTGTTTGCCCATGACTGGAGCTCACAACCTCTGGACGCTTCCCGACGAACTGACCCACTAATGAATCGCGCCATCATTCAGCACCCTTCTCCTTAACCTCCTTCGGAATACGAAAGCCATCATTGACCCTCTTTGGGGGCCTGAAGGTAAGTCGCTTTTCTGGAGCAACAGCAAAGAGACTCACCCAGGAGGAAGAGCCCTCACCAGCCGGGGGAGTCGGCGAGGAGGCCATCGCCGATTTAGGTTTTCCTTAGAGCACGGAAAGGAGAGAGAAAGAAGGAGAGAGAAAGATAAAATTCATCTTACATGTATCCATTAACAACTTATTTTCCACAAAATAAATCTTTCTAACCTCCATCACCCGCCCACATGACATCTCCCTTCCTTCCTTCGTTCATCTTTCTCTCTTCCTCCCCTCCCCCTCTTTTCTTCTCCCCTCTTTAAGTGTCAGACCGGACAATTTTCTATAGGACATTTTAAAGCCCGATTTCGATCAAATCGGGTCTAACCAGAGGTCCAATAGAGGTTTAATAATCTTGGAGCACACCGTCACCGTGGTTAATATTTCTCCATCGGCTTTCATTTCGACTGTTATTGCGGCCTGAAAGCTCTGCTAGAACCACACGGAAGCCATGCCTCTGGCTGTGTCAGCCACCCCCAATTAAAGTGGAAAAATAAATATCAATAAAAGGAAAGGAAAAGAAAAGAAAAAAAAACAATTTATGTTGAAAAGGAAATGAGATGAGTATGGGGCATTTCTGTCTTCAACTTGCTCTGCCTCTGCCCTCCTTCATAAATATTTATTAAATTAAAAATAAATGAAAGGTGCAAGTTCTCTGTTTCATACTACAAAATACAGATGATGTTGGGCAAAACTGTTTTGAATGACCGGGAAAAAAGAAAATTGGAATTTTCTTACTAATAAAGAAAAAGCAAATGGAAGGAAAGAGAAGGTTTTTTTTCTACACACAGCAACAACAGTAATGGATTGGAGATTCTTCTGTCAGTTTCTCTCTCCCTCTCTCTCTCTTCCATTAGGCTTTTGCTGACGTTTTTCCTTTCAGGCTGGTCCCTCCCGGCCCCTAGTACTTGCATTTGCAGTTGCAGGCATGACACCAGACCCGCCCACTATATCGCTTCTATTTACCCAAACTACCCTTCCACCTCTGTGTTATTTCCATATTGCTATATTTGGATAACTGTACATACAATAACGTAATTGAACTATCTACAAGATATATAAAGGCAAAACATGGGTTGGAATTCTCCCATTTCAAATTTCGTGGCCGGAGAGTGATTGTAGGAAGGATATTTTTGTCATTGCGCACACTTTATCTTTATATATTAAAAATGTTATCATTGGAGTTCGAACCTGGATCAGTTAAATGAAGAAAGAGCATTATAACCAACTATGCTACATTATATCTATTGTTATTTCTTTGATTAAACTCTAGGAATTTGTTTGTGATGATGCTTCTATATTTATATTTTATCTTTAAGTTATTCATATTTTATAGAATGAAATTAGTTCTGAAATCAGAACTCAAGTAGTATTTATTCAAAAATTGATATTAAATTGTATGTGTAGTTTAGTTTAGACAAACTACAGAAGTGTAACCAAAACATGGACCTTTGTAACGAGTATATCATTTTTTTTTTTTTTGACAAATCTATACATAATATAATGATAAAATTGGAAAATGAGAGTCTTCTTTTAAATTTCGTGGCCTGAGAGTGATTCTACGAACCTCTAGTGCCAAATATATCTTTATTTTATGTGTAGATTTGTTTTGTTGAGATTTACTATACATGTATTGTTTAGAATTCATCATTTTTTATATTTTTTAGTAGAACCAATACATGGATTACATCTGTGATGTGACCGAAACTATCAATCAAAATGAGTATTGTTAAATCTCAAATTTTAGTTGTTATTGTTGAGATAGTTGAGTTGGGATTGTTTTGTCTAAACTTTTAGCTTATGTGACATACACAATGCATCTAATCCGACAATAAATATATAATATTATACATGCATTCACAACACAATATCTATTTAACAATCGCAACTTCCAAATGACCCCACAAAATCCTAAATCGGTATTATCATTTGGATGATTTTTTCCTAAATACGATTATGGTAATTTATGAGATTTAAGGGTATTTGATCATGTCAATATTTTATTGGTTTTTTTATTTAGAGTTTGAATTGAAAGATCGTACATATTGGCGGTTCGACCATAAAACTTCACACCATAGGCTAAATCGATAGGTGATATTTAGCAATATGAAACGGTTGAACCACAGTTAAATTATGATTTCAGTATAAAATACTCTACTGTCAAATTTTTTTATACTATTGTAATCATTTGGTTCAAACAATTCTTTTACACTGGTGGAAACAGAAGTTTTAAGGCACATTTTGAACTATCTATTGCAAAAAAACATAAGTTAGTTAGCGATAATGAGAATATGCGATCTCATTCAACCCAAAAAACACTTTGCAACTTCTATATTTTTAAAATAGATGTATGTTATTTATACCCTTGCTCATTCATCAACTTAATGAGTACTATATATTTCATGTAATATGATTTTCATAGGTTTTTGTTTATTGAATTATTTCATGAAAAAAATATTTGATGCATGAAAATTACTACATTGTTGTTAAACATGTCTGCGATCTGAGAATAATTTTGGAAATCCATACACAACACATTCTCCAACCAACTATTAGCGACAATTTAGCATCATGTCCTATTCATTTCAAATCAAGCAACTTCAGATTCATTACCAATGGTGTGGTAAAAAAGAATGCTCTCTATTGGGAAAAACTTAAAGGACATACTAAACTGTATGAGAGACATTTTCTTTCATCTTAAAGGTTGATTATGTATGTATTATGAGAAACAACTCTAATATTCAATTATATGGTTTAATTAAGTAATGGATGACAATTAGTTATATTTATTTCTTTTTTTATTCAATAATTATAAGTAATGCTTATATTATATATTTCTCTTTTGAGGTCTAGACATAATATGCATAGTTGGATCACTTTCAAAAATGTTATGTGGATAACTAAGTTAGAAAACAATCATTTTGTGCATTTCAAATCCTCTATTATATATCCATTATTATATATCATATTTCTCGACAAAATTCTTCCGGCCAACGGGCCGGGTCTTGTGCTAGTTTGGTATGATGAAAAAACGACCTATTATCTTGTTTAAACCTTTATATATTGTGATAATGAGTTTATTTCAATTATCTTGTACCAAATAACTCATAATAAGTTGTTTGAACCAAAATATCTCACTGAAATGCTGCATCCGAACGACCTGTAAAAATAACGTAATTAACCTCTTTTTGTATGATGAAAAAGAATGGTGCTGATTCGATCCGAGATCTTGAAATTGGAAACTACCTGAGATAAAATTATTTTTGAACGAATTGTTTCTTGTACAAACTTTCCCAAAGAAGTTGCTTGCTATTACGTGAAGAGCCCGAATTCTCGATTGCTATGACCTCATAGTGGCTTTCTCCTGTTAATAGCCACAATTGTTCGTTCGAGATCGAGGATTAGTTAGACTGAGGATTGTCCTAGATGGGAGACTGACCCTGTTGTAAGTGCTTATCCAGGGCTTGGAATTTGCACGTAAATTCATCGTTGTTTTTTTTTTTTTTTTTTTTTTTTTGTTTCTGCCCATTAATAGGCTGCTAAATGCTTATGTGCTTAAATGGCAGTCTCCTTTGGCGCCTGCCAAAATTGTTTCTTTCTGCAGCAGGCAGGCAGACCGGCGCCGGTCCGGTCCAACTCAGAGTTATTAAACCCAAGTATATGTTCTTGCCCAAGTATTCAAAGCTTTTACAGACGGGTAATTTAGGAAACAATAAACATGAAGCTTCCAAACCTTGCGAGGCAAGGCCTTGCTGCTCTTGGTTCAATCTCGTTGCTCATGCTTCAATTTGAATGGACGTCGTCGACATCTCGACCAAAATCGATTCGAACTCGGTCCAATTATCGTGTCTAGTGTAATTATCTGTACCATCAACCGATTTAGCTTCCCATTTTACTCAATTTTATACCGAGATGAAGTTAATTTAAGATCAGATCTGATAAACAAAATAGCTATGGAACTCTGTCAAAATTTGACTACTTGGTGGTAAGACGTTTGATACATTAGTGCCTTTTGACATATTTCTGTTCATTGTCCTTTCTTACCCCTGCAAGGGGTTCTGGGGGTCGTTTGGATGAGAAATTGTAACGGATCAATTTGAAACAATTGTCTCGTTTTGAGACAATTGTACCAAATTGCCTCGTTTACCAGTAAAAAATTTGGATGGATCAATTTGCTTGAGGTATTTTGAATTGATCCGTTTTGAGTCAATTTCAATTATCTGGAATGAGGACGGGTAATTTGAATTGACTCGTTTTAATTGTCTCGTTTATAAAACGAGATAATTGATCAAAGTGCTGGTTAGGACAGGGGCACTCAAGTCAAGTAACAATAGGCAGTTGTAACTGATCGTTCATGCAGCTGATGGGAATGGTGAAAACAGAAGGAAGAAAAAAGGTTAGTTTGCCGAAACAGAGAAAATTCCAAAAAAAAAAAACATTATTGAAAAAACCCTAGACTCCTTCCCCACCTAGTATTTATAACACCCATGAGACCCTTCCACATCACCAATTCCCCCCCTCTCTGCATTTCCTCTGCACCGTGTACTTGCTGCTCTGTTCTGAATCCTAGGGGACGCCCCAAAACCCAACTCTAAAAATAAAAGGGCATGGTTCACCCTACCAACACCACCGCCACCTTTTCTTCTTCCCTTTGAGAGAGAGAGAGAGAGAGAGAGAGAGAGAGAGCAGACTGAAATGAGAGGTGGATCATCAATTAGGCAGCACAAAGAAGGAATTGAAACGGATATTAAGGTGGTGAACAAAGACGAGCCTCATCTCTCTGGTGCTTATATCCGTAGCCTGGTCAAGCAATTGACATCTTCAAGAACAAAAGACCCCATGGATCCCAAACATCCTTCTCCTCCAGCTGCGGCTGCCAAATTGGACAGAAAAGGGTTAAGTGGCGGTGGTGAAAACCAGCAAGCCCAGCAGCCGCCGCCGCACAAGAAGCAAGTGAGAAGGAGACTCCACACCAGCAGACCATACCAAGAGAGGCTGCTCAATATGGCCGAGGCCAGACGCGAGATCGTCACCGCCCTCAAGTACCACAGAGCCGCTATGAAGCAAGCCAACGAACAACAACAACAACAACAGCAACATCAACAGCAACCTGTAGAAGGAGGGAAGGACCAACTTCCATGTTATGAGCAAGAGCCGAAGGTGAAATCTCGGAGGAATCCTAGAACATACCCATCAAGCAGCGCCGGCAACACCAATTTCTGCAACAATAATTATCATCACTATGTGGACAATTCCTCCTCTTCCTCCAATAATCTGTCTCATCCCCTGCCTCCACCACCTTCTTGCTCTTTCCCATGGACCAACTCCCCAATTCTCCCACCACCACCAATTGTTGGAGGGGAAACCCTCAATTTCCCACTGCCGAACCAACCTCTGGGGTTGAACCTCAACATCCAGGATTTCAACAACATAGACACCTCTACTCTTCTCTACCACAACAACAGCCCCTCCACTTCCCCTTGTTTCTCTTTCACTAATAATGCTGCGTCAGAGGAGGTACCCAATTTGCAGTTTCTGCAGAGCGGGGTGGCTGTGCCGCCGGCTCCTTGCAGCGATGATGGGTTCCACCACGTGCTGGACGACGAGGAGATGGCAGAGATGAGATCCATTGGAGAGCAGCACCAGGTGGAGTGGAATGACACCATGAACCTGGTGACGTCAGCGTGGTGGTTCAAGTTCATGAAGACGGTGGATCTGGGGCCGGATGATCAGCTGAAGGCGGTTGTTGCGGATGATGAGATCATGGAGTTCCCGCCCTGGTTCAACCCTGCAAATGATGCCACTTTGCTTCAGCAGCAGCATTATTATGATTGCCCTCAAGACTACTACTCTCCTGATCCCACCTTGCCATGGTATGTATGTATATATATATATATATGCTAATTAATAACCCATCTTTTACTTGATGCAAGCAAGCCTGTGAATTAATTTGCCTGCTCTTTTTGATGTTTAGAGTCAATTCTGTACTTGCGTTCATCATTGTGATGGGATGGCGGAATTGCAGAGCGTTATGGGTTTAGCTAGGGTAGGCTGGGGGCAGCAGAAAATATTTTGTGCCATTACTATCGTGATACAACAAACAAACTAGTATAGCAAGAAGCTGCTTGTCCAATTCGATAGAAGAGCCCGTGATGGGCCTTATTATAGTGGGCCTTGTGTGTGGGTCGGCGTAATTCAAACCAGCCCATGATGTTGACAGACAGTGGATGGAATCCGTTACTGCAAGAAACTGATAATCTGTTTGTTGTTGTTGCAGCATGGACATTGGCGAGATAGAAGGAATGGAGGGAGAGTGGTGGGCTTGACAAAGAATTGATTTTCTGTTTTTGGTCTAAATCAAATCTTTGAACCCTCTCCATCTCTTTTATTTTATTATATTATTATCATTATTATTTCCAATTGATTCAAGCATGCAGCTGCATTTTTGGTTGGTTTCGTTTCCTCTTGAAATAAAGGCATGTCCATGGAATGAAATGGAAGGAGGGAGGAAGAGTAGTTATGTTTTGGTGATATGTGTTATGTTTCTCCCCATCCCAGCTGCTTGAAGCTGTATGGAAATGTATTGTTTCTTAATTTGTTGTTGTTGTTATTATCATTATTAGGTGATTTATCAGCTTCAGAGTTCGAATTCAGAATACAGATGAATTTTATTGTCATCATATTATAAATAAAATGGATGGTTTTGTTGGATGGTTGTCCTACAGAGCTTCTGTCTCCTGCTAGAGAAACTATCAATGTTTGTAAAATCATATCGCGAAGGTTGTATTGGAAAATCTAAACGATAGGGTATTTTGTACTGAAATCGTGATTTAACCGTGGTCGGCAGGTTATAACTGCTAAAATTTGTCTACCGACAAGCAATGTAGTCAAAATCGCGTTTTGAAATTTAAAAACTTACACTTTTACATTTCTAGATCACCAAAATGCTTTTACTCATAATCTCAGTTTTTACCAATTTAGTTAAAAACTGCGCTTTAAAACTTAAAAGCTTACAATTTTACGTTTCTAGCCAAAACGATTCTACATAGAAACACACTTTTGACTACATTGCCGATAATGTATTTTTACAGTCAAAATTTTATTGTTTAAAGTTTCATTTCTTAATTTTTTTATGTGATAGGAATTACTACTGTTAGCGTGACAGGACTCTCACAGTCTCAATATGGCAAAAGTTGACACAACAACAACAAAACAAAACAAAAAAGATTGTTTGATTCAATCCACACAGAAAATCTACGAAGGAAAAACAGAAAATTCGTTTATCAACAATTGGTGTATTTCCTTTAAAAAAATAATTGGTGTATATACATTACACATAAGTTGGATTGGTCAAGCGACACAATAACCGTAATAATAACGTTATTATATTTGTGGAATCACAGTTCGCAATATTATTCTTAGGATGCAAAATCCTGCAAGACTTGGTCGTATCATCATAATACGATTATATACGATTGGGTTTTACAGCTCCAAGTTTTGTACCTAAACCCGACTTTATTTTCATGTACAAAGTCAAACTAAAATGTTATATAGAGTTCACCAATTCATAACGAAAGTAATTCAGTTCTATCCACAAAATTTTAGGAAGCTTCGTGATGACTGTTTTAGAATAAGCCAAAGCGCAAAGCCTCAGGCATCAGTCTGACAGTTTGCCGCATTTCTTGAATCTAAACTGTAACTTATAATTTCCACTTTCTGAAAGCGAGTTTTTGCGGAGGATAGGGTGTTATTGATCAAACATCAGCTCCAGCCTCCATGACTCCATCCAATAATAAAATTTATTTTTCTGATTTTTTAAATTTTAAGGAGTTGATAATAAATAAAATAAATAATATATTTATCACATCTCGCATAACATAAATAAATAATATAAAATAGACCAGAAAGTTTATAAAGTAGATCATAATATTACCCTACTACAAAATTCATATAACATTCCAAAAAAAAAAATAATCAGACCATAAGTTCCCTCAAGAAGAACCGAAACTTTTTAAAGCAAACCACAAAATCCCTTAAGCATTACGAGAAATCTCATAAAGCATATCACAAGTTTCATCGAGTAGAATAGAAACATTATAAAGGCAAGAACGTTGAAGGACATCAATGGGCCACTTACACGTGCAAAGGCAAGAACGTTGAAGGAGAAGCTTGCAACGTATTTGGAGAGCTACTTTGGAGCCAAGGACCTGGAGCTGTTTCGAGGGAAGCCATGTATGACGATTAGAGTGGAGGAAGAAGGAGGAAGTGCTGGAGAGAAGGCAGATTGCAAGAAGGAGCCTTAACGGTTTTGCTTAACGGGTCTAGGCTTAACAGTTTGGGCTTAACGGGTTTGTTGGGCTGTTTTCGGGTTTTCTTGTTTTAAAGTCGGTTTATGATTGTTTTTTCATGTTGGAGTCGGATTTGGATTGTATTTGCCTATTTAAAGGGGCTGAACTCGTTGGTTTAAGGGTAGAAAACCCTATTGATTAAATTGAAGGCTTTGCCGAGTTCCCTTGAGGACTTTTGCCCTAATTACTCTATTGAGCATTCTAGAGTGTTAGAGCGACTCTTATCAGCTAGGTATTCACCCTAGTTGTGGCGAGCTACCCATATCAACTGCCCTTGATTCTGAGTTGAGATTTTCCGATCGAATCCTATATCGATTGCCCCTTTTCACAAGTGAGTTCTGTCCGGTTGATCCCATCTTTATCTTGGTTCTTTTATTTGGTTCGAATTGCTTGGAACTGTGCTACTTTGATATATGAGATTTTAGGGCGATTCTTCAAACTGCCAACTGGCCTGCTCATCGAGGGGCACGTAAAGTGTTGTTGGTGTCTCAGTTATAGTTAACTTCTTTTGATTTTGTATGGTGACTTGTTAGTGGAATGTGGAGGGATTGTGGGTAGTGATTCTTTCTAACTATTGTCTTGTCATTCCTCGGTAACAAAATCCCATGAGATTAGTCTTACAAGTTGTGATAATAGACTGATAAAGCATTCAACACCTGACTTTTATGGGTTGTTTACAGAGGTACCAAATGACTTGTTTGCCAACTAAAAACAAAACGAGTCATTTGCAAATGACTGCCCCCAAATTAATTCGCTTTTTCTCATTATTTTCCAATCTTACCTCTCTCCTTTTTTCATATAACCAATACTAACACTTCTCTATTTTGTCTTCGTAACCAAGCCCTTTACTATTATTTTCAAACAATACTTTTCATCAATACTTTTCAATTATTTCTAGTAAAATAGTGTTTACTATTTTGTAGACGGATTTTGAAATCTATGTTATGTCTGGTTGTAAAATGATATACTTTTGAACCGTTACAATTTTATTGTCAATGGGTGGTGTAAAAATGAGTTGGAAATTAGAAAAGTTTAAATTTTATTTTTTATTAATTTTTTAATTGCCACGTCACTCATTTAACGGTCAACTATTAGAGTTGACCGCCACGTCAACAAAAGTTAACGAAGACTAACGGCCAGTGACCAAACTTGAACTGTTAACCTAATTTAAGTGACTACCGATGGAATAAAGTAATTCTAGTGGCTAATGTGAAATTTACTAGTAATTCAAGTGACCAAATTCGCAATTTAGCCTTTTTCCGATAGTGAAACATATTTCATATAAGAATAAAATGGTAACATTATACAAACGACTCATTTAAAAACTTTTAACAAACAACACATTTGGAATTATGTACCTTGTCAAAAAACTATATTTGTCCAAATTAAATTCACCAAACAAACGACCATTAGTTCAGCCAATACAAAACTGACATGCTACATGCCTACCTAAAGCAGTAAAGCACTGAGCAGTCATGGTTCAGCCTCTTGAATCTAAGGGCTGCAAATGAGCAAAATTGTTAATGAATAGCTGAAGAACTTGCAAGTTGCAACCAACATGGTTCAACCTCTTGAATCTAAGGGCTGCAAATGAACGAGTGAGTCCTATCGGACTATGTAAATGGCAAACATGGTTCCAGAATACAATGCATCACTGCCTATACGTTCTCGACATTTCTACCCATTTACACTCTCAAATAACTGCAATTGAGAACTTGCATCACACAGTGATTGTTTATTTTTCAGAAGACAAGCTGGCCTCGGTTTTGTATAATGCTAGCTGAAGAAAAATGGAGAAGCCCTGTTGCAGAGAAAGGTGCTACCAGAGAGAATATAGAACGAGGTAGGTGAGATATGCTAGACAGTTTTGTTGCTGCCAGAAAGGGGGAAAATAGTAATAAAGGATAGGAGCCTGGTAGCTTGTTACGCCCTAATCAAAAGCTCATATACATTATTACTACTGTTGTCCCCAGTAACCCGTTTCAACATCTCAAAACTCCGGCGACTCCCTAAGAAGTCGATACGTTTAAACTTCGCATATCCAAGCTCTGCTGCTTCGTTACTGCAGTAGGCAGATCGAAGCCGGTCACCATGTCTCGAGTCTGTGTGAATTGCAACCTCTATTTCTGCAACTGACATATTCTCCTGCAACAAAAATGCCACACACACACCCACTATCATTATCAAATATTGTTCTGATATTTAAGGGTTTCAAGCCCGGTCATACTGTGTATTTCAAGTACCGTACCTGGTAAAATGCATAGATGTGATCCAAAACCTGTAAACAAGTAAAACCACCGTCACAGAAAAAGGTTTTCGAAGTAGGTCCCATCTCAGAAAACCGGTCGACTGGAAATAGGATAGTGAGGAAATGGTTGCGGAAGACAAGTTCAGTTTTCTCACTGGAACGCAAGGAAAGAAAAGGGTCAGGAACACAGCAGACTATGAGCATTTTCAATTGTCAGGACAGGACAGCAATATATCCATCAGCACCTTTCTGTGAGGGGCCTGGTTAGGTTTGCAAATGAAGCCACCAGCTGATCCGAGTCCTCCTTGCCATCACCTTTTGCATCATAGAACACAGAGGTCTGATTTTCTTCGCTGACATCCACGCTGCTAACACAGTCTGTGTAAATAGAAGCAGTTGAAGCTGGCTCAGATACCGACCAGCAAATTGAATCCAGTAGGCTGCTTGGAGTTATTGGACGAAGTGGTGTTTGGCATGTCTGCATAACCCATAATAACAAGATATAAGCTAAACTTGTAGTAAGATCATGAGACAATTTTTGTGCAAGATAACAATTATAGGACTCTACTGTCACATTCAGCTTAAAGTAGCAAGTGAATCTCAACAAGAAACTAGCTTAAGAAAGCTCCAAGGCTGTTTGAATACAATTCCATAAGAAACAATACATTTGCAATCCTCATTTTTCTAGATTTTCATTTCCAGTTCTAGTACTTGGAAAAATTCTCACTACTATTGAAGTGATGCTTTTTCTCATGGAAAAAGAAATGTCAGAGAGAAATAATCCTAGTTTCCCATCTTTTTCCATCCCAAACATTAAAAATAGAAATGGAATTCCATTTTATGAGTTTTGAGGCCACTTAAACTCGCCATTAAAGTTAGATACATGCACAAAGAAAGTAAACAAAGCTAGAGCTGTACATTGTAAAGCAGACAACAAGAATTAGTTAGGGCAGGAGGAAAGAACTCAGGAAGGAAAATAGCATGAATGAGACAAAGAACCTGCATGCGACGACCACGCCGATTTCTAACCCATTGCTTAGCAACTTCCACTGCCCTTTGCCTCTCTGCCTCTCTGACTCTACCTAGAGAAGCCTCGATATCATGTTGATGCATATTTTCCTTGTAACCTTCCTAAAGAAGAATCAGTATACATATGATGTTAACCTCTGTTAGAGAAAGGAAAGGAAAAGAGAATGACAGAGTTATGAATATTCTAAAAAAAATTACCTTGCCAGCAATGCCATGTGGAAAATTTTCAAGCGTTGCAGCAACCTGCCTGGCCAAATCAGCAGAGATGTGGACAAGCCTCTGCACTTGTTTCTCCTTTACAGTTTTCAAAACCCACAGTGGCTAAGATGCGCCATTGAATAGAGAAGCATGGTGAGAGAAAGACAAAGTAAGTAAAACAGAACTTTCAGGCACTTAACAACATTGTAATGGGAACCAAATTCCGAAAGCACTCACTGTAACAAGATTGTTAGTGTGCCCGAGGTATCTCTGCACAGAAGCTTCTTCACACACAATATGGCTCGCACCGCAACCAACAAACCATCGATCTAAGAATGTGGCACCCTCTTGGCTGGCAGCCTCTCGGACCTACCAACATATAAATAGGTTTACAAAATTTTAAAGGATTGATCATGCCGGTGTAAGGCCAGCTGAAACAGGGACATGGCATCGCTTTAGGATGAACAAAAGTAGAGTAGGAAAAGAACTGATACGAACTTATTGTTGGTTATTGCAACTGAGATTACCTTAATCTTGAGATCATTTGAAACATCTGGATCGACAAACATGGCATTACTAGAGAAAATCAGATCATTACTGCGGCTAGAAGCTTTCCTAGGAGCATGCTTATGTGCTGGTCTCTCAGTCATGTCAAATTGCTTGCTGTTGCTAACACCATCAGGAAAACATGAATTTTCAGCATCAGTGAAACCAACGAGCCGGTTTAAATCATCTAACCGCACCCCATTGTCTCCCAAATTCTTCACAGCGTAGAGTGACTCACTCAACCTAACTGCAGAGAGGCAAAGAAAACAGGAATGAGACATTAAAGAGACATCAAAACCAACCTCAGCCTCATTGCTACAACACTGCACTCTCGCTTGAGGACTGAAAGAAGCTACATCCTTCGAATTTCTAATATTTCAAAAACCAAAATGTCTACAATAGGATCTCCAGATGCTTTTTCTGTTTTCTTTTCTCTTTCTTAGAAGAATCCAGCTGCTCGCATATGCATGCCATGCATCCAGAAAATATAATCACAGTGGGATTCAATAACTCATGAGAAAGGAAGGGGCATACAAGTACCAATGCAACCAGAATTCCAAGTGGCCAAAATTCCCAACAAATAGAATTCACTGAAACTGGCAGCCAAGCCCAGATTACAGTTCCACCGAAGGGACGGCCTTCAACAGAAACTAATATATCAAAACATCAGCATACGAATTCAGACAGAAGACGAGAAGCGGCAGCCTACTGTTACCATTTCGCTTGACACTGTCCACAAACCATCCTAATGCAACAACAAAGAGGCCGTTTCTCGATCCATGTTTCAAAGCATGCTCAAACTTGCGTCCACCATAACTGTGCTAGGGATTAAGGTTCACCAGAGAAAAACATTTGATAGGATGTTCAGCATAATATACAAAACACATGGAGGTTCTAGTTGTCACATACTAACCACACTCAAAATTCGAGAAGAACAGTCAATCACAGGCAAGCTTCGGTTAATTTACTTCTCGTCAACTTGAACCCATCAATTTACCCAGCCAACATCTGTATTAGATGTATTAGTTTTATTCTTGGACTCAAACCTAATACAACATATTAAGTGCAATGGCAAGAAATAAACTGAAGGATATTTGGACAATCAAATGGGTACACTGGGGGTGCAAATTTGGACTGTATTGACCACCTAATCTCTCTGTGGCCTCCATAACTTGTTTCCTTGCTTCTGCAAAATAGGAGTATCAGAATACCAAGGCCCCCAAAGAAGCTCCTAGAAAAAAGATGGAAGACTAAAATCATTTGCACAAAAAATAGAATAGAGAGTTTGATCACAGAAAGAAAACCAACAGTTCGACAGCTCAAGTTCAATTCCAGATTTCCATGGGAGATCGATCCAGCAAGATGGTGGTGAATAAGCAGGGAGCAAAGACTCATGTACTAGCAAAATTTCTTCTCAATTTATATGAAAGGCCATACCTTTGGAGAGACCAGTGACACAAATGGTGAGACCGGCGAACGGAGCATTTTGGGGAACAGCCATTCCAGAGCCAGCAGAGGAGGCAACAGGAAGCATTGAATCGAAGGATTGCAAACCTCTGAATGAAGGCATGGAATTGGAGGAAGAAGAAAAGGAAGAGAATCCCATTCCAAGGAAAAGCCTGGAACACCCTTTGCTATCAATGACTGGGACCCTACCGAACCCAGTGCCGCCGCCAGTTTCTCCTCCAACCATATTTGCCGGTGTCCAGAGCTGAAGGCTCGACGACCATGATAGTCAAAACAAATGGGGAAGGAAAAAGCACAACCGAAACCTCAAGAAATCCATGACAGAAGAAGCAGCAGGAAGAACGGGGGGAAAGAAGAGAAAGGGAGGGGCGCAAATTTTGTAGGCGGGAAACCTAGTGATGATGTTTAGTGAGTTGAACCGAAAGAGAGGAAAAGTGGGATTTTTCACGCTTGCCCAATTGAATTTGCGGGCGAAAGGAAAAGTGGGTAGGAGGAGGGAGAGGGGAAAGCGAAAGCCAGTCAAAACAAAAGCAATACCCAGCAAAGCAAAAGGGATGGCGAAGGAGAAGAACACAGGGGCTTGATTGTCTAGGGCAGGAGAAGAAGAAGTTCAACGCTTTTGTGGATGGAGAGAAGGGACAAGTTGAGAAATTTGGGGGAGAAGAGATCGTGTCCTGATGTTTGAGATTTTTTTGAACGTAGCGCCCAGCTCTCTCCGTCTTGCTGGTTGCTGCTGGCAGAGAGAGAGAGAGAGAGCAGATGGGATATGTTTTTGCTTTTCGTTTTCCGCTGGCTTTATCGGGTGGAGGAGACGAGCAAAACGGGAATCTCACTGCATCAGAGTTCTTTCGAAGGCAGCTTTGCTTGAATCAAATCAACTCAAGTGCGGGAGTGGGGAAGGGAAGGAAGGTAGGATCACAGACAAAGCACAGCAGCAGGGAGGAACTTTGGTAGTTAAAAGCAGCGGAAAAGCAAGGCAAGGGAGCACGGGTCCAGTTTTCCCCTTTTTCAAACTTAGCTTTGCTTGGTACTTCAATTCCCATCACTGCTGCGGCTACCATTAATCCATTATTATACTTCAAATTGAAAACGAATGGATAATAGCATTTTGTATCTCCTAATAAATTAACAATGGTAAATACAATTTAATAGTCAAATCTTTCTTTGTCAAACAAAATAATAGCCAAACCTTTTCGAAAACAAATTAATAGTCAAATCGTCAACTTTCCGTCCGGTCAACAATTAGTTGACTATGACGTGATGAGTAGTACACGTCAGCTCATTTTAATTTACTGATGTGGCAAAAAAATATTAAAACAAAAAAAACCCTACGTTCACCTTTGCAACCCTGTCTCCTCCCTCCACCGCCGTCCCTGCTACCAGATTCCCTAGACCCCTCATCGTAGCAACTCCGCTTCCACGCTCTGTCTTCCTCCACCCTGCCGATGTAAACTCTGGTCTTCGTTCCTCTACCGATTCTTTAATCCGGAGTTCTTTTCCTCGGACTTCCATCCGCTATGTCGACTCTCCCACTCATGAATCGCCGCCTACTTCTCTGGCATCCTCGGCGTCGCCTCATTCCTCTTCAACCTGTTCGAAACCCAAAACCCAGATGAAATCGAAGAACCCCAAAATCTAAGAACTCATGCAACCAATCGAAGAACCCATAACCCAAAAGTCCGAATCGGTGTGGGTGTGAGCATAAGGCCATCATGGCAGCATCATCCAGACCATTCTATTGCGGGTCGCCGCTGAGCATAGCGTTCAATCTCGTAAGCCAGGATGTGGAATTCGGTATTGCTCCCTGGCAGGGTCATGACTCGCTAAAATACAACACCTAACAATGGCCAAGTGTAACCAATGAAAGGGACTGCAGTATAGTGGCACAAGTAATAAATATCGAATCCACGGGTCTCTAGAGTTACTATTACTCAGCTTCAGTTCATTATCTAGCAAACTAGATTAAGGATAACTAAACTACTCTACTAACTAAACTAAGTAAAACTACTAATTACAGTTTGGGAACTCACTTAGGTATGATTCCCCCTAGCTCCTCAATTAGGTCCAAGTTGTAATTACTTTTGGTTGATTTACTGTTGATTAAACTGCGGAAGATCCGACAGTAGCTTGAAATCTCTTAAGCTGACCAAACCCTCTCAGTCTAACTATCCGGCAGACGACTAGTCTTCACCGGGTTAGAAAGCTGAAGCAATAAGCACAGAACTCCACTACTGGAATTGGATTCCAGTACAAAGCAGTAAACTGACTAACTCTCGTATAGCCAATCTCCTACAAAGCAGTAAACTGGCTAACGCTCGTAGTCTCGTCCTCTTTCTTTTCATGACAAGCTTGCATGATTCTTTGTCCATAAAGTGAGGTAGAAATCCATTATTCTTCAGGTCATACCCGAGTTTCTTCTCCCGAATCGTCAATTGATCTTTGATTGACTTGAAACTTGCACCTATGCTTCACTTTATGTGCTAGGACCTGAAATGTGACAAAGGAACACAACCTAGCGTAAAATAGGCCAAAGACACGATAATTCAAGCTCAAACAATCAAGAAACAAAGGGGAAAACATGTGCAAATACCGAGTCATCGGGTCACAAGATGAAGAACTGCCGAGGGAGGCAGAATCGCCCATCGTCGCTGCTTTCGGTAACGGCGGGAGGCTGGTTGCTCTGTCCCTCTATTTGCCGGAACAAATACCCATTAGACACAAAGTTACTCCTAGTCCTGGTTGATGGCTTCACTTTCAATTTTGGCGATGGTTTCGATTCTAATTTGGGGATTGGGGGGGGGGGGGCGAATGGATGAGGTCAGTAACCTTATGGTGAGTAACCATGAGTAACCCGTCCATATCAGCATGACATCAGCATCCTCTCTCTTCTGAAAAGCCTTTAATTTTCCCCTCTTTAATCTTTGACGGACGATTTCTCACTCATTTTAAGTCGAAATTTAATTTTTTTTGCACAGTTATATGAGATTAATTGTGCTCTTCAAAATGATATGCACTTTAATATATTTTTTGAACAAAAAAAAATTGAGCCATTTTTTACCAGTCTATACCATATGGTATTGACTGGTATTGAAATAAAAGCATAATTATGGTTTGAAAAATGTACCATGGTGGTATGAACAAACCAAGACTGTAAGATGGTTGAATACATGATAGTAGAAGTATATTAATTGTCATTTACGACTTTTAACATTGTATACCACAAGATACCACCCGGTACCAGGGTGGTATTGTATGGTATTGTGTGGTATTTTTTGGTCCTGTAATTTGTTCACCCAGAAATTTGTAGATCCAATAGATCATGATGAACTCATCCCTTCTGTGCAAACGTTTTCAAAAGCGAATTAAAAACGAAGAAGATACCATACAATACCACCCCGTACCAGGGTGGTATTATATGGTATTTTTTGGTATTTTTTGGTCCTGTAATTTGTTCACCCAGAAATTTGTAGATCCAATAGATCATGATGAACTCGTCCCTTTTGTGCAAACTTTTTCAAAAACGAATTAAAAACGAAGAAGATACCATATGGTATGCAGTTGGTACCGAGAGGCTAGAATTTTTTTTTCTCAAATATATTGAAATATGATCTCATTTTGTAGAGCACGATGAACTCGTTCTATCTGTGCAAAAAAAATTAAAATCCGAGTTAAAACGAAAAAGATACGAGTCAATTAAAAAAACTAGAAAAAATAAAAATGATCTTTAATTCTCTATCCTTAGATCTGGATTTTCTAAATAAAAGGGTCTAGATTTGGTTATTGATGGGTGCATAACCCATAGTTATGCACCCTATCTTGAGCCGATTGGGGGGAGATGGAGGAAGGGGAAGCTGGTTGGAGGAGGAAGAAGAAGAGTCAGGGAAGGAACGAGAGGTGAGGAAGGAGGATTGTTTTTTTTTATTTGACCATTTATCTTGTTCTAGTTTATTCATGTTTCGAAAAATAAAAATTATTTGGTAAATTTCTATGTGGCATAGTCAAACTATTTGACTTTTTGCCACATCATCATAAATCATCCATCTCATTTGATATTGTGCCATGTCAGAGTCAACTAACAGTTGACTGGATGGAAATTTAATGGTTCGGCTAATAAATTATTTTTGAAAAGGTTTGACTATTATTTGGTTTAAAATGAAAGGTTTGGCTAACAAATTGTATTTACCCAATTAACAAATATCTTCTTAATACAAAAAGAATTTGAGCAATATACCCTTCAACTACGAATACATAACAATGGTGCCCTTCTGTTAAATTTTGTGTCAATTCACCATTAGAGGAAATGTAAAATGACTAATTTACCCTCATACATTATTTAAACCAATGTTGTCAAAACCGAACCGGAGTTTGACCCGGTAATGGGAACGGCTCGCACTTTAGTGGTCCAACCGCTATTAGACCGTTAAAAAACCGTTAGAGAACCAGTACCTTATAAATGATAATATCATAAATAGATGATATATAAAATAGTAATTTAATGGCTAAAATGAAATTTACCCTTCATATACCAATTAGTAATTTTACATTTTATATATTTACCCACAAAAGTCAAAACCCTACCCCATTCCCTGCTACCGCCGCCCCACTCTTGCCCTTTTCCCTTTCCTTCCCCATTCCCTGCTACCGCCGCCCCATTCTTCCCCCTTTCCCTTTCCTTCTTCTTCTTCTTCTTCTTTAATTTCTTCTTATTTTTTCAATTACTCTACTGCGACTCTCCTCCATCACCATATTCGACTCTCCTCCATCGTCCCTATCACTCTGTTGGAGACCAAGCAACGACGGAGCTGCTCTGCGGTACTGCCTTTACTCGCGGCCAAAACAAGGGAGGGGAAGCAATCAACGGACGGATGGACAAGGAGAAGCTATCGTGGCTTCATCGACATCGGGCGTCCGGCGTCGCTGGGAAGAGCTGCTGCGGTGCTGCTTCGCGTCTTCAACAGTTCAACCCTGCATTTTTAATTTTTTTTAATAGCAGACGGACGGTTCATGTGTTAAAAACCGGTCGGGCGGTTCGAGCGGTTCGAACGATTAACCGCTCCGACCGGTCAAAAACCGACCTTCCCAGCCGCTGCGGTTAATTGAGTGTACCGAGCCGGGCTGGTGGTCGGGTGGCGGTTTTACCGGTCCGACCGACCGGCTCGGCTCGGTTTTGACAGCACTGAATTTTAAACATTTAATCTTCAGCAGAGAAAAAGATCGAGATTTTTTTTGTTCCCCTATTAGAAGGACGCTCCACTTCCCGTAATGCAAAGCCCAATTCTTCTTTTTCCTTTCGCAGAATCTTAGAAGACGACGACACTCTAGGACACCAGCGACATTCCTTCATCCTTGCCACCTCCAGTGGTGAAGTTGTTAGCAGAGGAGAGCAGGATTTTGGTTGGTGACTCAAAAGCTGGACCAGATTCCCAGGTATTGGGGATTGAATGTGCTGCTATTGGTGCTAGGGGTGAAGAAACCGAGCTCGATGCAGCGTTAGGAATGCAGGATGCCACGAAGATGAATGATGCATTCATGTTGAAGATTGTTTGGAGGATCAAGGTGGAACTTAATTTACCTATGGGCAAAGTTTATCCGCAACAAGTATGCAAACAAGGCGAGTATGATTGACAACCTTGGATGGCATGACGAATGTCAAATCTTTAGCGAGGGGGTCCTTCGTGTCCTTTACTTCCTCCCATAAGCTACAATATAGAACATAAGAAGCGGCAAACATTCGCGGTTCTGAATAACCGTAGGCTTCAAGATGGGTCATCTCTTACTGAATTGGCAAATGGCTTGCCCTTGGAAGCTGCGACACTTCTAGTGGCGGAGATGGTACTCAACGACAGTTGGAACATTGATTTCATTCAAGTTTTCTTATCCCATAATGTGGTGATGATGCAGGTTCAGCTCCATATAGTACCATATCGGACCACACCCAATAGGCAATTCTCCCTCAAGACTGCCTATGCCTAGGGGTGAGCAACGGTCCGGTCCATATCGGACCACACCAAACCAAACCGACATTTGGACCGAACGACACTTCACTAAGTATAATGCAGTTCGGTCGTTGATCCTATTAATTTTATAATTACTAAAGGAAAAATGGACCAAATTGATATATGGAGTGGACCAACCCGGACCGAATGCAATGATGGTCCGGCCCTTGGCCCTAAGATGTTTTTCACTAATGGACCGCGGTTCTCATGAGTTTGTCACGTCCGAATCAGACCAAATTGTTGCACACCCCTACCTATGCCTTAATTGATGGCAATAGCCAGCCAACAGTTTTGCACCTGATTTGGAGGACAAGATGGCACACTCCAATGACTCAACGAATACATACCTTTCTTTTGGTTGACCATCCATGACCGTCTTTTGATGAATGTAGAGAGATATTGTAAACTACTGACTAATACGGCCAGCTGCCTTGTGTGTGGCAATAACATCGAGGCGACCCTGAAGATGATCATGGATTTCCCTTACGTGCGCGCTATATGGGCTGACTTCCTCGCGAACGAGCCGGATGGTATTTTTTTCGAACTAGACACGACCAGCTGGGCGATGCATTACATTGCGGATAGAAGTAAGGCTATTGAGGCTACTTTGTTTGCTGGAATTTGTTGTTACTCTGGAAGAACATGAACTCACATGTGTTTGAGAAAATAGATTGTGGAATCTTTGACGCGTGACAGGAAGGCGTTAGGGACAAGGACTATGAGTGATAGGAGGTCGATCGTATGTCGATTACCACAACCAGGTTGGACTTTCATTAATACTTATGGCTCGGTTTTGCAGTCACAGCAAAGCTCGATGATGGAAGGAGTGGTTCGAGATGACATAGGCAGATTCCTGGGAGCTTTTGCGATGAATGTTGGTGGCAGATCCATTACTCGGGCGGAGTTGACAGGAATCATTCATGGCCTTAAATGTGCTTGCCATTTGGGTGTGGGGGAAATCTTTTTTCCAAACCAAACCCAAGGTGGTTGTTCAGTTGCTCGATTCAACGTTGATTTCCCACATCCATTATCACCTGGTGGTGGAGGTTAAACTGCTCTTGGCCTTGCAATGCGACTGTGAGGTAAATCTACTACATGCTCGCAACAACCAACCCGCACAGAGAGCTTTGCTCTGCTCTGCTCTCATCTCGGTGTCTAATCTACTCTCTGCTCGCGACAACCAACTTGCATAGATAGCCTTGCTCTATCTCATATCCCAATTGTGAATATGCTCCCTGCTCGCGAGAACCAACCCACACAAAGAGCCTTGCTCTGCTCCCATCCCATCGACGACAATAAAAAAAAAAGAATCAATGGAGGTTGTTTCTCCCGACCGACATCGTGCGTAAAACACCCTCCCTCCCCTCGCTTGATTCTTTCTCTTTTTGGTCTTCAATTATTATTTTATAGTTGTTTTTGTAATTTTAATTAACAACTCATCAATTTGGCAATCAAAAGTTAAAGTTGACTGCCACCTGGGATAAAGATAACGAAGTTGGACAGAGAGTGATCATGGATGACATAAATGTGTAATTTCGATGGCGAATTTGAATGAAAAGTGATTCATGGGGCAAATATGAAGTAAATCTGTAATATAAGTGACCAAACTTGCAATTTTGTCGTTGCATATTTTATCCATAAATTTCTTATCTGCATAATTAGTAAAATACGGTACGGGAAAGTTATGTATAAAATATGTACAGGTATTTTACTTCGTCTCTAAGCTGATGCTACGTTTAATAGTACGTTAATAGTCATAAATATATAAAAATAGATTATTTTAAAAATAAACAAACATATGAATAATAGTAAAACTAGCAATTTAATTCATTAAATACGAATATAAACGTGTTATACGGATTTTATACGTGTTTAGTACGTGATCCATCAAATGAACGGAAAAATGAAACGTCTTGACAATAATACGGATACAAAAGTTTTAAACGGATAAAGTACGTACGGGGTTCATATACGTGTATTAAATAGAGTATTTACTAACTATGCTTATCTGTGAAGAAATGCTCTTAGATGGGTCGGTATGAGTATGGGGCGGGGGAGGCTAAAACCATACATGCCCCATACTCGTCAAACAGTTTATGAGTTTTACCCAAACCCACCCCATACCCCAGTCAATGCAAGGATTCCCCGCGTTGTTTGGGTCAGGGAAGGGACGGTCGGCGCGGTCATGGGTTTGATTGCCAAGGGAGGGGGAATCGTGGGTGGAGGTGAGTTGGAAACGAGTCGGAGATAGACATTGACGGAGATGGCGTCGTGGAGTAGAGAGGAGAAGAAACATAGAATGGACGGAGATAATGGAGCAGGAAAAATGGCAGGATTTAATTATTTTTTTAATTGACATGTAAGCAAAGATGAACTTAACGATGAAACATTGTCATCTAAGATGAACTTAATAGAGTTGGATGGCGAGTCATCATTGATGAACCAAGATGTAAAGTTCATCTTTGATTGTCATCTAAGATGAACTTAATAGAGTTGGATGGCGAGTCATCATTGATGAACCAAGATGTAAAGTTAGTGACCAATAAGAATTTTTTTTTGTGTGGATAGTCAACGTATTTTTTATTTTATAAATTGAGTGATTAAAGGTGTAATTTAGCCCAATTAAATTTTAGGGTTAACACTAATTATTAGTTAGTCTTTTCTGTATTCTTTTTTATTAATCAAACCTATCGAATCACTAATAATTAGCCAAATGTTTACTTTCAGTTAACTATTTTGTTAGTAATATTGATTTGACTACATGATACTGACTTTGAATAGACACATGAAAGTCAACATTCCAAAATTTTAGTATTTTAACTAAGAAAAGAGTTACAAAATTATTAACGATAAAAAATGAATAATATTTTGATGTATTACAAAAGATTTGGCTAATTATCAGTAATTTAATAAGTTTGACTAGTAAGAAAGAATGCGAAAAAAGTTTGGCTAATAATTATTGCTAACCAAGGTTGTCAACCCGGTTTAGTTCGCTGGCCCGATCGAGTAAGTGAGTTAAGGATTAATGGTCTGACCGTTTTAGCTTGGTTTAGCCCAAATATACAAAAATTTCATTAGATTGTTGATACATTTATAAATTATCTCAAATCTCTTCTAACATATGAGTAATAACATATAATATTGCACCAAAATAACATGTTTTACTTGGATCCAACATATAGTGAAAATTTACACATACTTATGCAACAATAATATTCTAATGTTCAACTTAGAATTCCAAAAATTGGGTTAGGCGAAAAGGAAAACCGGAAAATTGGCGCATTTCGCAAACCAAAGAAAAAAATTACATAGTTTGACCTACAACCGGTATCTTGCAGCACCCGACCTAGCGAGTGGACCCGTTTTTCTCACCAGGTCAGAATCAAAGTGGGCCAACCGAAGGGTAGACTCGCGGGCTAACAACCTTGGTGTTAACCCCAAATTTTGTTAGGTACATCCACCATGAACAAATGTGACATTTAGGAACAAACATGTGAAGTAATGGTCACTTTAAAAAAAAGTTAAATGTCTATTTTTTATACAAATCTTTTTCAGATTCTTTTCTATTATCCAAAATTATTAAAATGCTATTAATTAGCCAAATCTTTCGTAATGTATCAAAATATTAGTCATTTATGCATTATCGTTAATAATTTTGTAGCTCTTTTCTTAGTTAAAATACTAAAATTTTGGAATGTTGACTTTCATGTGTCTCTTCCAAGTTAGTATCATGTTGCCCGTCAATATTACTAGTAAAATTGCTAACAGAAAGTTATCATTTGCTAGTATTTGGATAGGTTTGACTAATAAAAAAAAGGCAAAATACACTTGTATAGCCATAACTTTTACGTTTGTGACAATAATAGCCAATTTTGAAGAAATACACAAAATAGCCAGAATTTTAAATGATTGATGACAAATCTAGCCACTTCCGTCAAAAACTTTAACGACGTTAGTAACTCCGTTAGTAACGTTAACTTGATGTTGATGTGGATGCCACCTCGACTCACACATCAGCTCCAACAAGACACATCATGCCACCTAGATGCCACATCATAATAAAAAATTATTTTTTGAGATTTTAGAATAATAATTTATTTTATTCTTATGATTCTTATATTCTCACACACATTTTCCTCCACCATAACAAGATTATTCCTGATAACCTCCGCCACCAGAACCTTCGACCACCACGCCGCCCTTTCCCTTTGATTCCCCACCGAACTCCTCTTCCCCATGGATCCAAAAAAAATTCCATTTTCTCTCCCAAATTTTTATCAGTCGCTGCAACGAAGGGAACTAACCATCTCCAATCTGTTCCCTTCACCGGAGACCATCTTTGCCCAGCATTCAAAGAAGCGGCGCACGAAGCAGCAGTGGTAGGGGGAGCCGGCGGGAGACTCAAACAATCGCTCCCCTGTTGGTGGAGCTTGAACAAGTCTCGCTGAGTCCCTTGAACTGAGCTCAGTGCGACGAAACTAAAACATGGTCGTATCCCTTACCCAACTCCACCGGCGGCTGTGAAGACCAAGATTGAGTAAGCACAAAACTGATAACTTGATATCCAGACCAAATCGAGAATGCTCAGGGGATCACAGCCGCTTTACTCCAGGCCGACACAGAAGAAATAGTGGTCGGAGGAAGAGAATTAGGCTCTCTCCTCTTTGATCAAAGCCTGTTGCGGGCGAGATAGATCTAATTTGGGAGAGAAAAAAGGGGGGAAATTGGATCTGACTCAGAACTCAACAAAACTCGTATTTTGGAGACAGGTACTTATAAGCTGAATATGTGGGAAGAAGATGGAAGGCGGAAAGGGTGGGAGGCGACGACGAAGATGGATCTGTGGGAAGTTAGGGATTTGGTGGGTTTTGACTAAGTTAGATTTTTGGTCGAAGAAGAAGGATATGGAGGATGGTTGAAGAAGAGGGTTTGACATTGTCGAGTCGGAGGAAGAAGATGAAATTGCATTTCTGTTGTAACTCATACGGGAGCGGTGGCTGGGGGAAGAAGGGTGACGAATGGCGGTGGCCTTGTTTTGACCGGTGGAGGGGTTCGCGAATCGCGAGAAGGGGAAAGAGAGGAGTGATAAAATAAAATAAAAAGGGTTTAATTTTTAATTTTATTTTTCGTGTTGAAATAATTCCAAGTCAGCAAAGTCGTCTATCCAGTCAGCTTTTTCGTTAGTCTAGTCAGACTGTTAAATGACACCGTTAAAGTATTGGACGGAAATGGCTATAAGTGGTATTTCTCCAAATTTGGCTATTATTGTCATAAACGCTAAAGTTATGGCTATACAAGTGTATTTTGCCTAAAAAAAATTAGGAAAACTTTTGGCTAAAAATAGTATTAAAAAAAAAAAAAAACAAAGTAATGGATGGACCTTCCCCAGCCGCGTTGTTCTGAAGCGCAGGCGATGGATCTCTTTGGAATTTGAAAATTTCCCTTCGCGCTCCAAAGCAAATTCACGAACTCAATCGTTTCCATTGAACAAGACTGCTACTCCGCTTCTTCTTCATCTTCTTCGACGACTACCCGCCATCCAATCCATTGAATCCACTCATCTCCGTCCACTCTCCGAACATGTCCTCAAAATCCAGTCATCTTCCTCTCTCCTCCATCCCATACGATGACGACGATGATTTCCAGCTCCCTCTCTCGCAAACGCCCGCAACCCTCGCTCTCTCTTCAGTTCCAAAGAAATCGTCGGCCAGAACACCTCTCGCTCCTTCCGGCAACTCTCACCGTCTCTCTAAGAAGCCCAGGAGATCTACCAATCTTGGGAAGGAGAACGCGGCCCTCGAGCCCGTGCTGAGGAACGAAGGAAGGAAGTTCGAAATTAGCGAGGAGCCGACTTGCAGCTTGGATTTAATACCGTCAAGCATCGACTGTAGTGGCTACGGAGCTCAGGTTTCCGGGAATTATCAGGAGCAAACGGCTGACAAAGAGACTATCTGTGAGATTAGAAATGTGGAAGAGAACGGAGGGTATCTATGCAATTCCATAGAAGCTAGGTTAATGCAGAAATGGAACACGGATTGCGGAGCGAGTAAAGCTGAAAGCGAGTTGGATTCGGATGTGGGGGCAGGGGATTTAGGGGATAGTAGTGAGCTCGATGTATTGATTAGACTGTGCGGCGATGATGGTGACGATGATGATGAAGAGGCTGGGCAGGAAGTTAGGTTTAATGATGGGGTGCTAGATGAGGAAGAAGAGGAGTGCTGTATCGAGTGCCCGCTTTGTGGGTCTGACATTTCGGGCATGAGCGAGGAAGCCAGGCTTGTTCACACCAATGATTGTCTTGACAAGGGGGAGAATCAAATGGAACAAGTAAACCATATTTTTCGATTTTTGCAGCGGAGATTGTTAACAAAGAAGCTTCAGAATGGTTAGCTGATTTCTGATTATTATGTTCAAATGCAGGTTCTGTTTGAGAGAAGGGAAGCAACCCAAGTCCAGCCTGAAGTGGTTGATGGTCCTGGCCGTTCTCCACAGCATGGTGTTGATGTATCTCCTGTGCTGCAATGGCTACGAAGTTTGGGTTTAGAAAGATATGAAGAGCCTTTTGTGCGGGAAGAAATCGACTGGGACAGCTTGAAGTGGCTTTCGGAGGAGGTAGGCTTCACTATATGTTATCTAATCTTAAATTGGAGTGAAATTGGTAGAACGATTCTTGCTTGCTCTCTGTGATGCTTTCATCTTTTTAGGCAAAAGAAAATTGTTGGCTACTGTGTATGTTTATGAGTTCCTTGTCTGGACTAGGTTAAGTAATCAGTAATCACATATAAAGGTGATCTTTAGAGTATTTGGATGTTATGCCGAGTACTCTATATCATGAATTACAAAAAACCCGTACTCTTTTGACTGGAAGAATGTAGCAAAGTTGTTTTTGCGACCTCAAATGTATATCTGTGTCCACCAAAAGAAAATGGATACTTGTAGGTACTAACTATCCATTGGTGATTTTGGGCAATCTTTGTCTGGATTGTGTCTTTGAGAGGACCCAAGAATACTAGCACTTGATACATAAATTCTTCTCCTTGTACTTCTTTGCAGGACCTTATAAGTATAGGCGTTTCTGCACTTGGACCAAGGAAGAAAATTATGCATGCTCTTACTGCAATTAGGGAAGCTTTGGATAGAGGTGATAAGCAGGAGACTACAGATGGTGTAGGTGAACTGAGGAACAACAATGCTGAAGACAGTAAAGTGGGGACTTCAAAAGTCAATCATATTGAAACCAATAAATCAATTTCAAATAAACTGATCACAGACTATTTTCTGGGGTCTGCTAATACAAAGAGAAAAAGTTGTACTAGCTCTACTAAACAGCAAGGACGGGGAGAAGGTCAATCAGATTGTGCTCCAAAATGCTTGGGTAAAAAACAGATCAGAAGAGGCCGGTTCAGAGATATCCCTTCATGGTGCAGTGTACCTGGGACACCATTTCGAGTGGTAAGAACTATTGCTCGGAAATTATTGTACTGAACTTGACTAAGACTTTCAGCCGTACCATGTAGCAAACAAACTTCATCCGTCGTTCTAGTTGATTTTTCTTGAACCGGAGATTGTAAATGTCAACATTGAAGCAAGAGGTTAAAAAGATTAAAACAAGATTGCTTCATCAGCTTCTCCTCTATGTCTTTTGCTTTATGTATTGATGGTGATGTGATATTGTGTTCATCACTTCATTCTGTCTTCTTTATTGGTTAGTAGTTCTAATACCTTCTAACAACTCTTAAATCTGCAGGATGCCTTTAAGTATCTTAGAGGCGATTGTTCTCATTGGTTTCTCACTCATTTCCATATGGATCGTAAGTCGACTCACATATCTTCTCTTTGGGTTTTATGCAACGTTTTGATTAGAACCACATGTAAGAATTGGATTCAGGTTCACGTGCTTTGGTAGAACTAAATACTTCTGTTTTTTAGTTGCTGTGCTGGATACGGATTGCTGATATATATTTATCTGAAATCTTCAACTTCTTGTGGCATTGCAAAGTTGCAGTTGTATATATAACCCCATTGGTTCCTAGTTCAGTAACTATATTGCTTATTTGACTACAGGTTAGAAAGCCCGCAAATAATTCAAATTTAATGAGTTACTGCATGTCACCAAGTGATCTGTCTATATCAACTGTGTTAACTGCTAGGCGCTGTCTCGTCCAGTGTCACAGCCATATGTGGCTGATGACGAGTCACTTGTGCCCTAAGTAATCACCATCGGCCACCAACAACCATGGAGGTAACCATTATAATTTGTTTTGCAGATTATCAGGGATTGACTAAATCCTTTTGCCATGGGAAGGTTTACTGTTCTTTGATAACTGCAAAGCTTGTAAACATGAAGATTGGTATTCCTTGGGAGAGGTTAGAAGTTTTACCTTTAAACCAAAAGATCCAAATAAATGGTGTTGATGTGACTTGCTTGGATGCAAATCATTGCCCTGGTTCAGTCATTATTCTCTTTGAACCTCCTAATGGCAAGGTGTGTTTTCCATTTCTTAACTACATATCCTCTGGTTTTCTTCTTGTATCACTTCGTCATCTTTTTCAAGTTAATCTCTAATTCATGCACAGCTATGCAGGCTGTCTTGCACACAGGAGATTTTCGGTTTTGTGACAAGATGGCAAGCATCGATCTTTTACAAGCCTGCCATATCCATACTCTGATCCTTGATACTACCTACTGTAACCCTCAGGTAATGCATGTTGGAGTTGGGGCATCCTTGATACTACGTACTATAATCCTCAAAGTAGTCACCTTTTTTGTACAAGATAAGCTAACTTTGAAATCACAATGTTTTCTCAATCAGTTGGGCGCATTCAGGTACTAAACTATTATGAAGAACCATGTTAAGCTGATTCGGAAACTTGAATATGGGGCATAGTTTGGATTTGTTTCACCCTCTGAATGCCAACTGAAGTATTCTTTCTATATTGCTGCAGTATGATTTCCCTAAGCAGGAGGCGGTAATACAATTTGTTATTGAGGCCATTCAAGCAGAAACTTTCAACCCTAAAACTCTATTTCTGATTGGAAGTTACACAATAGGTAGAAATCATTCACTCTTTGTGGTTTTTTCATCCCACTTCCTTCCTTGAGCCTTCATCTCTATTTATTATTTTATGTTCCTCGTTAAAGGAAAGGAAAGGCTGTTCTTGGAGGTAGCGCGAGTTTTGCGGAAGAAAGTTTACGTCACTGCTGCAAAGCTCCGGATTCTCAATTGCCTCGGCTTCTCCAAGGAAGATATGCAGTATTTTACACCAAATGAAAGGGAAAGCCAAATTCACGTGGTGCCTATGTGGACGCTTGCAAGCTTCAAAAGACTAAAGCATGTAGCAAACCAATATGCGGTGAGGTTCATTTTCTTTTACTTGATCTGCGTAACTTGTACTTTCAGCTCAATTTTCTCTGGCTATTGAACAATTGATGATTTTGTTGCACTGTGAACAGAATCGATTCAGCCTTATAGTTGCTTTCTCGCCAACTGGTTGGTCGTTTGGTAAAGGAAAGAAGAAGTCTCCAGGGAGAAGATGGCAGCAAGGAACAATTATCAGGTAATAAGTCCTGTCCCAATCTCCTTACGAGCTGAGAAAACAATATGATGGTTGCTCCCCTTCGCTCTTCAATCATTTTGGTGAATGAACTTTCCTTGAAGTATCCAATAAGCGTGGTTTTTTTTTACCGACTTTCAATTTCAACTTCATGGGTTGGAGCAGGTATGAAGTTCCATATAGTGAGCACAGCAGTTACACAGAGCTTAGAGAGTTTGTGAAGGTTGTGACCCCTCAAATGATAATCCCAAGTGTTAACAATGGCGGACCAGAGGCTGCTGCTTCCATGGTTTCTCTCCTCCGCCCCTAATTGGTCTGGTTGATATATATATATATAGGCCAGCAATGGACTATTCTATAGCTTGAAGACATCTGGAAGTTACTGCAATGTAATATAAGTCGGTTCTTGTCATATTGGAATTCCCGTCCAATTGCCAGGAAAATGCCAAAGAATCTTGGATGATTTGACAGAGACAACATTGTTGAAAATATTACCACAAAACAAGACAGAGAGCCAAAAAAACAGGAAAGAAGAAAAACCTTAACCTTTTTTAGCATGTATTTTCTTTTCTGCAGAACTGTATGCAGGCTTCAATGTTACTGTATTACAACTTACAAGTAGGCATTGTTTGTAGTGGTTCAAGCTGTGTGGCAATACTGTATGTAGGCTTCAATGACCGTGCATTCAAACTGATCTAGCATAAGTTGCTTGTCACTCCGAATGACATGTTAACAAGCTGAGTAAAATTGAACACTACTGTGTTGGATTTTGATTTCTTTACCTCCTCTTACTAACATATCAATGTTGTTTGCATAATGTATTCTAAAATTGGGCTAATACCACAGGAAATATTAAATTTTAGCGAAAGTGTCACTTATATTATGTAACTTCAATAAATACAAAAATATTTCAACCTATTAAGTGTTTGCGTCATTTGTGTTACGCGAATTTCTGTTGATCGTTGACCAAACTGTGGTCAACCTTGTGTCCACGTAGGCAACACGTAGATGTCATGTAGAAAAAAATATTGTTTTAACCCTACCCACCCTTTTTTTTATAGCCATAGGGCCTCTCTATTCCCCGACCTGACGAGTAGGGGTGTTCAAATGGTTACCATGGTAATTACCTAATCAAATAAGCCTAAGATCTATTAATCATGGAATAAAATATCATAATCAAACCGTCCAAACTAATACAACAACCAAATTAATCAAACTACAATTTAATCTGTTTGGTTAATTGGTTAACCAAAATAACCAATATAACATCACATCAATATATTAAAAGCCCAAGCAGCAGCTACTGTTGCATACGAAAATGTAGGGCAAGGTAATTAAAAAAAATTCCAGCGACACTGTTCACAAGAGGATCTATTTCCTATACCCAATTTCACCATAAGCTCTTTTCTATTTGCATAATACAATAATTTTGCAAGATCACTTTTTTTTACGTAGCATTTTATCTCCTACACTTAATCCCAGATAGTAAACGTTATTCAAATTCAATTCCACCGTAAGCTCTTTTTTATTTGCATAATACAATAATTTTGCAAGATCACTTTTTTTTACATAGCATTTTATCTCTTACACTTAATTCCAGATAGTAAACGTTATTCAAATATGATATTTTCCGCAACTTTATTTTATTGTTAGACCACAAATTACAAAATATTTACGTAACACTGTTCAATAAAAGTTAGGTACATTACGAATACAATATGTAAATCTTATGAAGTGACCACACATTATGAAAAATTTACATAACACTGTTCTATTAGAGTTACGTACATTATTTTATTATATTAAATGGCCAAGCATGCCTAGCCACAGTTTACTGTTGCATACGAAAAAATAGGACAAGGTAAGTAAAAATTTACTGTTCACAAGAGTTTTTATTACCTATAACCAATTTCATCATAAGTCTTATATAATCCTTACATGACAATTTAATCAAATGTGATACTTTTCATAACTTAATTTTATTATTAGACCACACATTATGGAATATTTACATAACATCCTTCATTAACAGTTACACAAATTACAAATATATTACCTTAAACTTATGGAGTAATAGATATTTCTTATGTATCACTTGAACAAACATAATTCATTCATAATGATTTAGATACTACGTTAAGCGCATATAGTGATATCTTACTCGAATTTTATGAATTACTACATCATTAACTAAGTGGAGGAAATTTCAAGTATAATTACTCTTCCCGCTGCAAAGCGCGGGCCAAAAAACTAGTTATCATTAAGTGAGAAAATCTTTTGTGAATGCATCAATTCACAATTTATATAATAAACAAAACAATCAACACATAATTATTGATAACCCTGAAGATAAATACATGTAACTAATACAATTATCTTTAGAAGTATTCACATAACAAAAATATATGTTAATGGAATGAGGTTAATGAAATGTTGTATTTTGTAAATTGACTTATTCTATTAGCAATTATCACATGCTAAAATAGACCTTCCTTTCAAGTTTTCATCCTACATTTTGTATGAGTTTTATCTAAAATAGGAGTCCATATGTTGTGGTCTACACTCTACAAATATACAGTATATGAACAATATTGAACTTTATTTTTATGAGCCTAAGATGGAGGAGCGTGTGACACTTAAGTGGTTATGCAAAGTATTAAGTATGTATATATAATATTTATGAGATATGTGGTTAATTACTTAACTGGTTAATTTGGTTTGATTGGTTAGAAGTGTATGAAACCAAACCAAAGCACCTAAACCAAACAAGCTAAAAAATTTAACCAAACCAAACCGTTATCCAAACTAACCAAACCAAATTATCAAAATACTACCAGTTAAAATGGTTACCACGGTAACCACACTGCTTGAACACCGCTACCGACGAACACCGGTGTTCTGCTACTTGGGTTTGAAACGACGGCAGCGACTATGGCGGTGGAGCCTTGAAAGGTGGCGGCGGTTGGCTGTTGAGGCGCCATAGAAGGAACGACGGGGAGCAGTTCCTATGCTTAAGTCGGATTTTAATTTTTTTGCACAGTTAGATCAAATTAACAGTGCTCTTCAAAATGATATCAACTTTGATATATTTTTGGAACAAAAAGATTGAGCAATTTTTTACCAGTATATACCATATGGTATTGACTGGTATTGAATAAGAGCATACCATATGGTATGAAAAAGTTTACCATGGTGGGATGAACATACCAAGACTGAAGGATGATTGAATACCTGATAGTAGGATTATACTAACTGTCATTTACCACTTTCAACATTGTGTATCACAAGATACCACCCCATATCAGGGTGGTATTGTGTGGTATTTTTTGGTCTTGTATTTTATTAACCCAGAAATTTGTAGATCCAATAGATCATGATGAACTCGTTTCTTCTATGCAAAACATTTCAAAAACGACTGTAAAACAAAGAAGATACCATATGATATGTAGTTGGTAACGAGAACCAAGAAATTTTTTTTCTCAAAAAATATTGAAAATGAATTTCATTTTGTAGAGCACAACAAAATCGTTTCATCTGTGCAAAAAAAAATTAAAATCCGAGTTAAAACGAATAAGATACGAGTCGATTAAGAAAACAATGGAAAATAAAAATACTTTCAATTTTCCAGTATTAGATCTGGATTTTTTGGGCCCACTTAAATATGATGGCAGAGATTTAGTTACTCATGGTGAGTAACCATGGGGAACTGACGGGAACTTGAGCCGGAAAGACGAACCACATCAGCCGAAGGGTGGACGAGTGGTCGTAGGTAAGTATAAGTTCGTTGAAATTACTCCGATTGCAACCCTTTCCATATGATTCCATTTTATTATTGAATTTAACTCTTTTCAATTGTTGTGTGAAATTGGTGACGCATGAATGAAACCCTAATTTTGATTACAGTTGGTTTGGTGGAGCATCACACCCATGTATGGAAGAATATCTAACCACAACAAAGCGAGGTTAACTTCTGCCAACTCGTATGTAATGAAGTGCACACACAATGCACCGGCTATTGTGAATCTATCAGGGACAAAAGTTAATGTAGAGAGAGTTATATTGTTGCTCGTATTGGAAAACTGTTCAAATCTATTGTAGTTTTTTTTCTTCTGTGGGTTGATCGATCATCGCTGGAGGACGACGATTCGAAGATGAAGCTCGTGTCTATGGAGTTCAAAGCACAAATGTTGGAAGAGAGACTAAAGGTTGTAGAAGCCAAGACATACGAAGGAAGAAGGAAAAACAAATGCTATATTCTGATTTGATCAAGATTAGGGGTGAAAAAGCTAGACGGACTAGAGTTTTGTATGTGTTAGCAACATTACTGATGACTGTTGATTGTTGTTGTTGTTGTTGGTTGAAGTGAGGAAGATGTCATAAAGTTGATGTTGTTTGTTGACATTGTATGAAGTTGATGTTGTTTTAGCATGATGCTTGCGCGCAGAACTTAAACCTGGAAACACATTGTAAACATATGTTACATTGCAAATATATGATATAACATACCAATCTATCATAGACTTAGTTGTACCAATGTGCTTAGTATCCTAACAAAAGCATAGGAGAAGTTCATCGTTTTCTCTTTACACCTACCTACCTAACATTACCAAGGCAACATACTTAGTGTCCTACCAAAAACATTGAAAGAGCTTACCGTTTGCTCTTCTAACAAGCAACATACCAATAATAATAATAATAATAATAATAATAATAATAATAATCACAACTAGCCATTAATCTTGGGTTGTTGGTGGCTAGGAAACGTCGGCTTGGTCAATCACAACAACTCATCTTCCATTGGGTGCACCTCTTGCAGGTCTGTCACCTCATGCAGGTATGCCCCCTGCGTTCTTGCCTCCTGCAGTTTCGCCTATTGCATGCATCTAATAACAAACAATACTGAAAAGTGTGTCATTTCCATTTATGGTTTTGTAAATTTCTAACTAAGTCTTGAGCAATGGTTACCGTTGCTATTGATTCATCATCTCCCATAGTTGGATTCTTCATTGGTCTGCCACATCCTCGACGTTCTTGTGGTTGTTGCATTTCAATAGTGTAAGATGGACAACCTCTTTGCAAGCCAAAAAAAGATAAAGTAAGCATAGTAATAAGTAGCATAAATGGTTACTTGAAGTGCAACAGGATTAGGACAAGCCCTTTTGTTGTAGCCGTTTCGGTGGCAGTTTCCACAATGCATTACAATATTCTTCCTACGAAACGAATGTTCCTCCTCCTTCATGGGGCCGAGTCTCAAGCTCACATGCCTCCTTCCGCCAATTCTTCTTAGGACGCCCGACATAATCCAAACCTTTGGAGGATACACTGGACACCCCTTTGCCATGGGCCATGTTTGTCGACCAACCAAGGTATCAACCCCTTGTGTAGGGAGCGGATTAGGTCAGTAACCTTAGAGTGAGTAACCATGAGTAACCGTTCCACATCAGCATGACATCACCATCCCTCTCTCTCATGGAAAACCTTTTATCTTTTATCTTTTAATCTTTAAGAGACGATTTCTCTCTCGTTTTAAGTCGGAATTTAAATTTTTTTGAACAAATAAATCAGATTAATTGTGCTCTTTAAAATGATATCCACTTTGATCTATTTATAGAACAAAAAAATTGAGTCAGTTTTTACCCGTCAATACCATATGGTATGCTCCTATTTAATACCATATGATACGAAAGTGTACCATGATGATATAAACATACCAAGAATGTAGGAAGGTTGAATACATGATAATAGGAGTTTACTAACTGTCATTTACGACTTTCATAATTGTTTACCACAAGTTACCACCCCCATACCATAGTGGTAAAGTATGATAATTTTTGATCCTGTATTTTTTTCACCTAGAAATTTGTAGATCCAATAGATCATGTTGAACTCGTTCCTTCTGAGCAAATATTTTCAAAAACGATTTAAAAACAAAGAAGTTACCATATGGTATGTAGTTGGTAACGGGAGGTATGAAAAAAAATTCTCAAAATATATTGAAAATTGATATAATTTTGTAGAGTACAACGAACTCGTTTCATTTGTGCAAAAAAAAAAAAAAAAAAAAAACGAGTTAGAACGAATAAGATAAGAGTCGATTAAGAAAACTAGGGAAAATAAAATACCTTTAATTCACAATCCTTAGATCTGGAGTTCTGGCCCACTTAGATTTAAAGATGGATATTTAGTTACTCATAGGTCAGTAACCATTGGTTACTGACCGTATACCAAGCCCCTTTGTAGGCTTTCTTGTACTCGGAAACAAAGTAGAGTTTATGCACAAATAGGCTGGAATCTAGCATCTTCCAAGCCAAAGCCGAGACAACATGCTCACATGGAACCCCAGTTAAGCCTCAATACCCCAAGTAGAAGAAAACTCTTTCAAAGAGAACATAATCCTCATCCCTACGAGATACTTCAAACTTGTCTTGAAGTGAGGGACTTGTCATCCACATCTTAGCTGATTCCTTACCCTTCTAAACCTTCTTTATAATCCTAGGGCAGATGGCATCGTTAAGCTTCCCCAACTGTTTGTTCTTGTCCATAATTCTTGCCATCATTTTCTTGCGAATCCCTTCTAGCATATCAATTATTCTAAGTTATCTCTCCTGCAATATATGTGAATTGAAAGTCTTAGCATATGTTACTTTCAACTACATCACACTTACAGTCATGGGACATGAATCCTGCAAAACTTCTCGGGTTGCTGGTCCATGAAGTCCTTCAACAGTGTAGGGTCTTCACCCACTATTATGTATTTCTTCTATCCTTCTTGTCACTGCTTGAAACACCGCCTCATTGGTGACATACACAACGCGCTAGAACAAATTTCGAAAGCTTTGGGGCCTGTGTCTTGATTTCCAATTAGAAAAATTATGTCTCGCACACGTCCTGTGATGTGCATGCGACATAATCCTTGCAAGAGCCTCGACAAGATCCTACAGGAGTTAGAGTTTAAAATGGTTAGCCTACATACATCAAGACATAAAATAGAACAGCCCTTTCATGTAGAGTTTGTTAGTTATACCTTCTACTAGTCGCTTAAAATAGTCCAACCTTGACCATCTTCAGTGAGTAGTTCCTCTTGCAACCCCATGAATCATAGTTATCTCCCTCTATAACGGCCCAAGCGATGGGATACATACAATTATCCCTATCCTTTACAATGACATACAAAATCATCTCATTCACTTCACCTTTCAAGAATGCTCTGTCAAGTGAGAAGATGGGCCGACACCCATCAAGAAACCCCTTCCTCAGCATGGAGAAACGCACATATCGGCTTTTGAAAATAAACTTATTTGCAATAGAACAAGGGTCCACTTCCAAGATAAAATGCCCTATAGGGTCCACACGTTTTAACTAATCAGAATAAGGCCTAATTTCTTATACTCCTCTATGAGATAACCTCCCAACAACCTCTTGGCATATAACCGTTCCCTATAACACTCCTTATTGATAACTCTACATTATGAGTCTCCCTGATCTCCCTATGCATATGTTTCACTTCCCAAATCAGGTTGATTTGGAACCTCCCAGTTTAGAGTTTGACAACCCAAATAGCATTGGCTCCTTTCACTCAAAGGTCATGTGGGCAAGAGTGTGACGGCCCTACATTCTTCACCATGAAACACTGTCGCTTTCCATGCTAACTTACAAACACATACCAACCACATTTTCCCCTACACACCACCCTCTTTTTCTTGCTCGTACTAATATTCCACTTGATGCAGCTAGTAGTTTCTACAAACTTAAACTGCTCGGTTTCCCCAAACTTAAGACCAACGATGATATTCAACAATGAAGGTTCACAATGTAGATTGTAGATAGGCCCATCTTCCTCATCATAGTCAAGACCCAATGACTCTCTATATATGGACGCCGAAACACTCCTCGACGTTACTCTAACCTCAACCTCATCTATAGACTCATAAGCATGTTCCTGCTCCACTTCTTTAGCAAGGGCAACAACCTCTTTGACATTAGCTTCACGGTTTGTCACACTCTCAAAGCTAGACTCCTGCTCCACTTCTTCATCGGAGTCTTTGTAACTTTGCCGAATCTTCCTTCTACGCTCGTGCCTTCCCATATGGGTATGTGCCTCGTAGAACTCGTCATCTGAGGTATGCACCTCTTGATCTTCTTCTTCCTCGTCATCATCCCGTGGACAATATCAGTTGCGAAAGAGCCTTCATCCTCTTCCTCATCATCTCCCCTCTCATTATCCCCTTATTGCATCCCTTCGTTGTCACCAATAACTCCTAATCCATCACTTCCCTCAATCAAGATCACAATCTGCCATTTTTAATTAAAGTAATCAAACCATCAATCACCTTGACATCAGAAACAATCTCTTGAACCCCTTGCTAAATAGTAGAATGTGGTGATATGTACCACATTCGATCCACCCTCTCATTGTTCAGATACACCACTCCAACTAGTCAAAGTTCGATGTAGGACAACAAGTGAATGTCTATGTCAAATCGCTCTACAATTCCACAAACGTATCTAGGCATGCCTTGGGAGAAGTCCATCCAATCTATGTGGTTGAATATAAGCTCAATCATCTCATTTGCCACCCTCCAATAAAATACATGAATCATTCCATTTCCCAATCAAACTGTCTACACAATCAATAAAAGCATATACCAACACTATCACACTAAAATATAGCAAAATGTACTCCAACACAAAACCCCAACTACTAGACGACGACAATACAACAATCCACAATCTCTAATCCATCAAATTGTTGAAAAAGCTAGCTAAAGGAAAAAGCACAAACTTGTTTTTCACCACATAGCAAGGCTAAAATTATCTTCACACTCAAACTCGTGGTCCAAACTTTTGGAAGGAATCTTCCATTGTACACCCACCTTTACTCTTCTCCATTTACCTTTGTACCCTACTCCTTCTCATGTGATGCTGTTCAACCACTAGATTTTCACTACAAATACATAGATGTGGAGAACACGTGCTATTTCCCCAAAAAAACCCTAGAAACTTTTCCCACAACCTCCTCTTCACAATCGCCTTTTGTGCTTCATTAAGGAGAAGACTCAGGCACCTGTGATGAAGGATGTAGACTCAAAGTTTGATCTCTGTGCCGATTTGACCACCCCAATCCTCCGATTTCACTTTCGACGACGATCCGAAGCCTCTGCCCTCTGCCTCCACTCACACGCTGATTGATTCCATCCACCTTGTCAATTTTGGGAATTTTATTCTAAGGTTCTTATTCTGTTCGTAGCTCGAGAGTGACAAGAGGAAAGGGTGAGAACGAAATGAAGGATCCTATTAGGCACTAACTGAGCGTTGAATAGTCTCACAGTTAATTTAACGGTCCAATTAACTGAGATGACATTTTGGCATACAAATGTCATATCAATAGTTACGTAATATGATTGCACTTTCGGTAAAAGTTGGTATTTCAAGTGGTATTAGCCCTCTAAAATTCCATAGTTTCTAAGTGATTTTAGGAAGCACATTAAGAAAGCTTGGCACAAACCCGGAGTCAAGTTTATCCTAAAATTCCAGATTTTTAAGTGATTAAATGCATAATCTTTCGGTGCATACTCTACATTACTAAATTTGGCTTCTTGATTTTTGGATGTGATTTAACCCATGATTAAAATTAAATGTTTATTATTAGTTATATTATTTTTATGAATAATTTACTATTTTTAAATAACTTATATCTCTTTTATTTTAAATTGAGTTTTAAACTTTTCCAAAAGAAAATTAATTCTGATGTACTAAACGATACAAATTGTATTATAATTCAAGCACAAAATTTTGATAGATCTTATGCCACTATATACGGACATGTACATTATCATCCTAATTTTCGACCACTCTGGTATAATAATTTGTATTATTTTCAAAGTTTAATTAATATGATTTTTTATAAAAATGTTATTTTAAATTAAAAAATTAGACAATGTCGCTTAAATGTTAATATGAGGATTGTTATGTATGGTTGTACACCACAAACTGGTCACTGACCAAATATTCTTTCTACAATATAATATATTAATTATGATTTACACAATTATATTCATTTTAAAATATTTTGAGAATAAAATTTTTATAGTTAGTTTTATGCATGGGCCGTAGTGCACTTTGTAGGGCTGTAGGTGCACTTTCATAGAAGACGTAGAGTGTGTATAAAACTTCGAAAGGGGTAGTAAGGCGTGACACATGCCTGCATTTTTATCTTCCAAAATATATAAAAATGGACATCGCTTTATAGAGTACAACTATTGTATTCTATCTCTGTGTTGAAAAATGAATGAGATATGGTTAGTTAAAAATAAACGAGAGGATGCCTTGAAACCAAATAAAAATGAAAAAAATGAATCCCTCATATCAATTTCTCCCTCGTGTTCATATCCCCTTGTCTCCCGAAGCAGTCTTCAAAAAATAATCCTTAACTTTTTCAGTAGATTTATTCCCTAAATCCAACTCCATCTCCAAATCCAGACCAGGCCTACTCTATCAGACAATCACCCTCATAATTAGTGGAGGAGCTCGAAGCTACTTTGTTATTCGTCACTTCTTCATCGATTTCTCAGTTCCCATTGTCGTTGCAACAGTCAAGGTGAGTGATGACACACTATTTAGAGTGTTTATCACTCCCATAGTTTATATAATTTTACCCTTCTATCAATGCATCATAACTATTTGATCAATGGACATTTAATAGACCTAGGATGTGTTTTTGTACTATTTGATGTCTTCTTGATATGTTATATATATATATATATATATATATATATTATGGGTCAGACTGGCGTACGTCAGACGTACACTATATGTCAGGTACTACTAATGAGATATCTCTATCTAGACCATGAATTAAATCGAGTTTGAGGTATGATACTATACCCTAACCTCTAATGGATAAACCCCAGGCACCCATTTTCTAAACCCTAACCCAAAGTTTGATTAAATGAAAAACAAAAATTGACCGTTGAGATCGGCCGGAGCTTATCTAACTACATCTAACGGCTAGATCACCTGACGTATACTATACGCCTGACGTACACCAGTATTCACCATATATATATATATATATATATATATATATATATGGTGCCTTCTACGGTACCCCGGGTGAAATCCGGGGTACCACATACCTTGAGTATGAAAACGCTATTTAGACCTCGAATTAGCAGGATTTTTGGCCATGATACTATACCCTAACCCTTAATGAGTGAACCCTTGGTCCTCATTCTCTAAATCATAACTATAAACCCTAATATGGTGCATTGATTTTTTTGCTTATATTTGGACGAATCATAACCGTCGATTATTGTTTCTAATTTAATAGACCCAGGGTAAAATCCGGGGTACCGCATATCTTGAGTAAGAAAACGCTATCCAAAACTTGAATTGATTGATGTTCCGGACATGATACTATACTCTTACCCTTAAAGATCAAAATCTAGGTCTTAATTCTCTAAATCTTATACCCCCAAGATCAATTTAATTAGAAACAATGATTCGATGGTTATGATTCGTCCAAATATAAGCAAAAGAAAAAACAATGCACCATCTTATGGTCTATAGTTTATGATTTAGATAACTAGGACCTAGGGTTCACTCATTAAGTGTTAGGGTATAGTATCATGCCCAAAAATCCTACAAATTCGAGGTCTAGATTGTGTTTTCATACTCAAGGTATGCGGTACCTCGAATTTCACCCAGGGTATCGTAGAAGGCACCATATATGTATATATATATATTTTAATGGTTTTCAAGGTACAACACAACCTATGAGAATTTGGATCAAGCATTGGACAAATCTGGCGAACCAAATGAGCTATGGAGAGAAGAATATGGAGCTTTCATGATAAAGACAAGGTCTAGGGACAAAAATCCTACTAGTAACCATGAGTAGAGGAAAAGAGAAGAACAATGAAGAAAGACCCAGCCTAAGTAGAAGCAAGAACCAACAACGGCCCAACATGAGCATATTATTTTGAGTAGCTATCATCAAAAGATCTCGTGAAATAATATTTTCGGCCTAAGGCTTCAAGGTTCATTACAAGCAGCATCGACCATACAAGAGAGGTGAAAATCAAACACTTTTAAGACATTATAGGAAGTTGCACAAGCATTCTTGGATGAGTATTTTTTACCATGGAAGACAAAGGAGCTCAAGGAAGGGATCTCAAGGATACTTCAAAGAATAGCATAGGCATTTCACGATACATAGAGCATATTGAACCTACTACTACATGAGTGCCCACATCATTGATTCAAGGAGTAACAACGTGCAACTTTCTTCTTCAAAAGACTTGATGAACAAACATCCAAAGAGGTCAACATGATGGCGGGAGGAAGCATCTCTCTACTCATTGTAGGAAAGACAATGGAGACTGATCAAGGACCATGGTTGCTGACATAGCCAGCTAGCTCTACATTAATGAATTACTAATGGATTATAATACCAAGACTTAGAGCCCCAAGATCCATCATCAATGATAGAGGATGCCACTTCCAGAGTCAATTCGAGAAATCATGTGCACATTTGGGGATCACATACATGAATTCTACTTCTTATCATCCTCATGCATATGATAATTAAAGAATATACAAAGAAATGTCAAAAGATTCCATGACGCCAAGATACTTAGAAATGACTTGTGACATAGAGATCAAATTTGTTGTTCAATTCAAGATTACGATTACACCATGGGAAGCTCAGATCTAGATAGACAAGTTCATATACTATATATAGTGAACTCAATATGGAGTTGTGCATCTTTATGACCACCAAGGCACCATCTTCAACATAAATGGTCACCGTTTAAAATCCTAATTCCCGCAGCACACAATCACGTTAGTGGAGGATATTTCACTTGTCAACTCTAACTAAAATAATGGAGTATGCCTACCTAAAAGGCACAAAAGAAAGAGCACTATTGGGAGGTAACCCACGAATTTTTTTGTTCAAAATTTATTTATTTATATAATTTATTTGTTAGAAACTAGTTTCAAAAATTGATTTTCCTATGTTCCTAGGCCTAATATGAAGTTCCAGGACGAAGCCCAAAGACAGAAGGAGGGAGGTGATCCATCAGCGGACTAGTGGCGGCCTTACCCCCGCACGATTTCCTCAACCCATAACACTCCTTTTCCATCTCCAACCCAACCATAGTTTCCAATGAGCGTCGGCCGAAGACTTGCACCAACCAACGCTAAAAAATCTATTCCTTCTCAAACATGGACTCAAAAGAGTCTGTTTCCGCAAGAAAATGAGAGGTGGTTCCACCCATTATTGGGCCACCACTCCCTTATAAGATAGAGGGACATCCCTCTATTTGATTCTTCACACCGTCACACGAAGCTACAGACAAGATACGATTCAAGGAGACCAAGACCCATTCATAGATGATGGTGGAGGCCAAGGAAGGAGTCTCCAAAAAAGGAGTTTCCAACAAGGAGTGAAGAGGAAGCTACCCATGCTCGAGGAGGAGAAGGAGACGCGCAAGAAGGCTGCCACAATGTTTCCTCGATGGTTGAAGGTAGCATCAATGGTACAAAGGGAGGAAAACATTAATGATGTCTCACTAGCAAGGAAGCTCGAGGTTTCGAAGCATCCATCAAAGAGCAGCTATGATGCCCTACTAGAAGCAATCGTGATTGTGATGCCTTCCCGAAGTTGCACCCACTCCTCGTCTTCAACAGGCCGTGGTAATCATTGGAGGAAGAGTGTAGCACTGATGAACAAGCAAACCCTAGCTCAAGGAGAACTCCACTGGACCAGCCTGCTGAAGTATGATGGTTAGGGAAGTCTTCATCTAGAGAGGTTCAATGCAGTCGACCTAGAGACCCTACTAAGCATCAAGGGTAGATGCAACGAGGTTCTGATCAAGGAGTTACTAGCTTCCTTCACCAATCACCATCCATATACTTAATTACTTATCAATTCACAATGTTTATGTATGAATTATGACAATTTAGGAGTTTAACATTTAGTGACTTAGACATTGTCTATAGTAAACCTTATAGTTTTATAAGAGCATATGACTAATTGGATATAATAGATTTGAGAACATATCTTGAGTTAAGAGTTTAACATTTAGTAGCTAAGACATTGTCTATAGGCAAACCTATCATGAGCCATCTTATCATAATAAACCAATCGCTTATGTTATAGTACATATAACCTAACATCCATTATATGAAATAATTTAGGAACTTCTCATGATAAACAACGTACTTACTACTTATCTAAGTATATTAACTAATTAGTTTGACTATTTTTAGGGTATGGAGTTATACAATTTGATGGTATATATATGCTTCATGAGTACACCAGTCTCACCCATATGGTATATATATATGGTAATCACTGGTGACTGGTATACCATATATATATATATATATATATAGCAAAGGCTAGCGTACACCTGTATTCCCACATATTATTTGTTCATGGTAATTCCGACGAATCCCAATTGTTGGTTTTCATTTTAAGATTAAATGAATCTCATGATTTGGGTTAGAAAATTGGGGGCTCGGGTTCACCCATTAGAGGCTAGGGTATAGTATCGTGCACCAAAATTAAATTTGGTTAATTCATGGTCTAAATAACAAAACTCGATTGGCGTACGATAACGTAAGCATACGCCTAGCTTGAACCATACATTTAATTGATAATAGTATTTTTATGTTTGAATCTAATACGGTATACATATTTGTGCAAACTTCAATTTCGTATAAGTTGATTTTCTTATGAGGGAGCATACTAGTAAATGGTATCATATATATTATTGAATCTCTTCTAGGGATGGCAATTTCGACCTGACCCGTTTTATCCGACCTGTTTGGTTTGTTTTGGGACGGGGCGGGCATGGGTACTCTCATCGACCCGACCTGTCTTGACCCGCCCCATTCTCGACCCTTTCTAGCCTAAATTACTTGTAATCTTGATCAAATTACTTAGGATTTTCCTTTTATTACATCATATTTTAGCTATAATAAAGTTATAAATTAGTGAAAACCTCAATTTTTCCAATAATTTAACTACATTTATCATAATATTGTTTGTTTTCTTGGTCTTATAATAAAAATAACGAATATTTCTCATGTTTTTTTTTATATAAATTGCATATTCATTGGGTCGACCTGCCGAGACCTGCGGCCTGTAATAAATTACCTGAACTGGATCCGACCTCCCACAGGGCGGGTATGGGTACCAACAAACCCGCCCCGGACGGACCTGCCCCATTGCCATTCCTAAGTCTCTTCCAACAACTCGATTTGTTGATACTAAATATTTTTTTTACAAAGACATTATTCGAAAGCTAAATCTTGAATTATTGATTGGTGTAGGATTTATTATTAAACCTCTATCAACGACTCGATTTATTGATACTAACAATTCTTTAAAAAGAACACCATTTGAAACAGTACGAGTGTACGACTAACTAAATCAATAATAGTTTGGTACGCAGAATGATATTTTTGATATTTTTTACTACTAATGCATTTTAATTTACCAAAATTTTTTAATTTAAGATTATATTAACAAAAACTTTTTTATCATGTGTATTTTTTTCTAGGTGGACCCATCTTAAACGAAATCCTGGCTACGCCATATATATATATGATTCAGGATTGCGTACGCCCGACGTACAATGTACGCCTGTGTTCACACTTATTAATATTTTAAATTAATTATAAGTAGATCAATAATTGATCAAAATTATAATTACAATTACACCTATAAATTTTGATTTTTTAACGATTTAGTCCCAAACTTAGACCAGTCATCCCCAGCCTCTTTCCATTTATCATCTTCCTCGTCAGAAGTGAGGGACTTCAATTTGTCTTCATCCCTCATCCCTGGACGCCCATGACTTTCTCGATTCTCCTTTCTCCTTCTTGACCTTTCTTTCTCTCATCACCCATAACAATCAAGCCGCCATCGCCATTCGTAGATCAAAACTTGGCCATCTAGCTACCTAATCTAAAATGAGTCCTACTAATCTCTTTTCAATCAAGGGTATCCCATCTCGATCTTTTGAGGAATGGGGCACTGCAAGGGAAGAGACGCATCGGAGGAGGCCTGATTATGACAGTAGCTGCGGGCGTGCTATGGCGACCGGAGATCACACCACTATACCATTATCTTTTGTGTGCTCCAAGTGTCCCAATACATATTATGCTCTCAGAAATTTCCGGGTATCAACGCCGATGCACGACCTTCGCCCCTGTTTGTTGAAACTTAAAAATCGAACATGCATCGCCCTAAATTCTCCTTTCCTGCATAGACAAATTCATTCTTCGCCGGGAATTTGGAGAGGCCGACGAAAATTAGGAGAGGATTTCGAGTCGGAGATCTGTATGTTGTGATCTCTGAACTTATTATTAAGTATAGGGATCTCCTTGTAATTAGCCAGCCGACCCGCGTTTAGTGTTGTAGGATTTTGGCTCGGCATGTACTTAAGGGGGAGAGTGCTTATGTTGATCCCCAATTGAAAAACCTAAAAAGATCAATAATAGATCAGCCGAGAACTCACGTTCTCCGTGGACTAGTCCCATTCTCATCGAACAGGGAAACCACGTAAATCTCGCCTCTCGTGTTATTTTCGTTTCCGCACTTTCCTTTTCTACATGGTATCAGAGCTGTGAACGGATTCACGGCCATTTTTTTTGCTATGGGTGACAAAGATGATCACACTTTACACAGCTCGTCGAAGAGCAGCTGCTCGTATGTACGAGTTGAAGCGTACTATAAATTTACTTCAACAAAAGAAGACTTCCATCGCCACGTTTTTACAAAATTGCGGGGGCATTGGGATGAGCTGAGTTCGTTGGCTCCTTCTCTAGAATGCACTTGTGGTGGATGTACGTGTGATGTCAAGCTGCGTTAGCGCGAGGCGAAGGAAGGTGAGCGCTTATTTGATTTTTTAATGGGACTTGACGATGCTTTTAGCATTGTTCGGACGCAGATCCTAGCCATGAAGCCCATCCCCAGATTAGGAGAGGCTTATCATTTAATTATGAATGAGGAGCAGTCTCGGCACATTTCCAACAGTCGACGTCCTTGCCCGGATGCTGCTGTTTTCCAGGCGCAAGGGGAGCGCCGGTCAGATCGGATTTCGTCGCAGGGGGAGCGGGACGCGGATGGAAAACCGTTTGCAGCCACTAACAGAAGCTGGGCATTTCCGCGAGACATGCTACAAATTAATTGGGTACCCCCCGCGCAAGGAAGGCGAGCCAAATGGGAAGAAGAAGTCCGACCGAGCTTCCCGACCCTCTCCGCGTGCTGCTGCTGTCGATGTAGAATCGGACTCTAGTCCGATACCAGGCCTCACGGCCGCCAAGCTCAGTCAACTCAAATCCTTCCTCAACACCGATTTGAGAGCCTCCACTCAAGCCTCCACGGATCCTGTCTCTAACATGGTCGGTACGTGTTATGTTTCCTCTTCCTCTTGGGTTATTGATTCGGGATGTAATGAGCATATTGTTAATGATCATTCTTTGTTGGTTAATGCGTTGGAGTCACCCCCAGCTCTTCAGGTTCGGATTCCTAATGGAACAGGTGTTCTTGTTCATCGTATTGGTTCTGTCAAGTTGGCTAACGACTTATCTCTTCAACGAGTATTGCATGTCCTGATTGGGATGGGTAAGCACGTGGATGGGCTGTATTATCTTCGGTTGTTTGATGAGCAGCATCCTGTGGCACATACGGCTCGTCAGGCAGTGGATAAGACGACCCTTTGGCATGCTCGATTAGGACATCCCTCCATGGCTAAGTTGACGGTTTTGCAGAAGTACATCTCGACACCACTTCTTCAGCGGAGTTCACCTTGTCATTCTTGCATTCGAGCTAAACAAGCCCGTGATCCTTTTATGTCTAGTTCGATCACGACTTCCTCCTGTTTTGAACTCATACATTTGGATATTTGGGGCGGCTATCACGTTCCATCTTTTTCAGGTGCTCGTTATTTTTTGACGATTGTGGATGATTACAGCAGAGTTGTTTGGGTTTATTTACTGCGGTTTAAATCTGACGTAGCTCGCACTTTATTATCCTTCTTCCATATGATACAACGCCAGTTTGGTAAGGTTGTTCGGCGTATACAGGCTGATAACGGCCCTGAGTTTCCCACGACGGAGCTTCGTGATTACTATGAATAGTCTAGTATTATTTTACAAACCTCTTGCACAGATACTCCGCAGCAGAATGGCGTCGTTGAACGCAAGCATCGCCATCTCTTGGAAACCGCGCGTGCTTTATGGTTTCAGGCTAATCTTCCTCTTGATTTTTGGGGCGAATGTGTGCTTACTGCGGCTTATTTAATCAATCGCATGCCGCTGGTCACTACTGGGAATCGGTCACCCTTTCAGGTTCTTTTCGGCCAAGATCCTCCTTATCATCACTTGAGAAGCTTTGCGTGCCTCGTGTATGCTCGAGATAATTGACATGCCTTGGATAAATTTGCTGAACGAGGGCGCGCTTGTATTTTTGTTGGATACCCCAGTACTCAACGGGGTTATCGCGTTTTTTATCTCGAGGACAAGCGCATTTACACATCTCGGGACGGGAAGTTTCTCGAAGAAGTATACCCCTATCATCTCCACACGGATCCTTCCTCGACGTTCATGCATGCTCAGTCTACTCGGCCTTCTCCTGTTGTGACGGAGCCAGTTTGGGATGAGGATGTGATTATGAGCCTTCTTCTCATTCGCATTCTACTTCTCGCCATCTCCCTGTGCTTCCCATTTCTCCAGCACCCGACTCAAGTCCATCGTCTCCTCCTAGTTCCCTAGCAGAGCATCTTTCCTCTCCTGGTCCTTCGACCGAGACTTCCCCATCCTCAGGTTCGGATGGAACCTCGTCTCCCTCAACATCGCCGTCGTTGCCCAAGTCTCCTGTTCCTGCTGCCTCGGTTCCCGTTGTTGAGCAGCCCCTTCGACGCGGCGACCGCCAGCGCAAGCCCTCCGTCAAGCTCCACGGTTTTGATGTTGATCTTCCTAATTTTGCTAGAAATAGTACAACTGTCTACCCTATTGAAGATTATTTGACTTATCAGCGTTTATCGCAAGCTCATCATGCTTTCGTTGCCGCGGTCACAAGTCATGATGAACCTCAATTTTTTCATCAGGTAGTTTGACATGAACAATGGCGTGCCGCCATGGTTGTTGAGTATTGTGCCCTTGAGGCCAATGGTACGTGGGAACTTTGTTATTTACTTCCTGGGAAGCGCGCCATTGCGTGTCGTTGGGTTTAAAAAATCAAGTTCAATGCCGATGGTACCGTTGAACATTTCAAGGCACGTCTTGTTGCTAAAGGCTTTACCCAGATCGAGGGCATCGATTATCACAATACCTTTGCCCCGGTTGCCAAATTAGTAACAATACGTTGCCTTCTTGCTGTTGCTGTTAGTCGAGGGTGGATTATTCATCAACTCGACGTTAATAATGCATTTCTACATGGCGATCTCGAGGAGGAAGTCTACATGACTATTCCTCAAGGGTTTGCAGCTCCTGGTGATACTCGTGTATGTCGCCTTCGTAAGTCGATTTATGGTCTTCGTCAGGCTTCACGTAACTGGTACCAGAAGTTTACACAAGCCGTATTGGAGCTTAGTTTTGTTTAAAGTCGAGCGGATCACGCTCTTTTCACTTACCGCCGTGGCGGGAGTTTCGTTGTGGCTCTCATCTACGTTGATGATGTTATCTTGACAGGTAACGATATGTCTTTCATTCAGCGTGTTAAGGATTTTCTCCATGCTCGTTTTACCATCAAGGATCTTGGTGATCTGAAGTATTTCCTAGGTATTGAGGTTGCTCGTTCACCTCGTGGGATGGTTTTGAATCAGCGAAAGTATGTGCTTGACATACTTGCCGAGTCAGGACTCACGGCTGCTCGTCCTAGTCCTACTCCCATTGAGCAGAGTCATCATTTGGGTCGTGATCCCTCGGCCCCTGCGGCGGATCCTGCTTCATTTCGCAGGCTTGTCGGTCGGTTACTCTATCTCACTGTTACCCGACCGGACATTACATATGCAGTTAATATTCTCAGCCAGGCCGTCCATTCCCCGACTCAGGCACATGTTGATGCTGCTGCTCGTGTTCTGCGTTATCTCAAATCATGTCCGCGTCGTGGTCTGTTTCTTCCAGTTTCGCGTGATCTCACCTTGAAGGCTTATTGTGATGCTGATTGGGCAGGGTGTCCCCTCACTCGCCGCTCGACTACAGTCGGTTGTTGCTCGTTCCTCTGCTGAAGCCGAGTACCGTGCTATGGCTAACACGGTCAGTGAGGTCTTATGGCTTCGGTGGCTCTTGTGTGATTTGGGGGTGCGTCACTCTGCGCCTACTCCTCTTTATTGCGACAATCAGGCGGCACTTCATATTTCAGCAAATCCGGTATTTCATGAACGCACCAAACATGTCGAGATGGATTGTTATTTGTTCGAGAATGAGTCCAGTCTGGTGATGTTCTTCCTCTCAAGATCGCTACTACGGATCAGCCAGCGGATATCTTTATGAAGGGTCTTAGCGTGGATCAGTTTTCTCATCTACTGGTCAAGTTTGGACTTCTCGATATTCATTCCTTCGCTTGAGGGGGAATGTTGTAATCTCTGAACTTATTATTAAGTATAGGGATCTCCTTGTAATTAGCCAGCCGACCCGCGTTTAGTGTTGTAGGGTTTTGGCTCGGCATGTACTTAAGGGGGAGAGTGCTTATGTTGATCCCCAACTGAAAAACCTAAAAAGATCAATAATAGATCAGCTGAGAACTCACGTTCTCCGAGGACTAGTCTCGTTCTCACCGAACGGGGAAACCACGTAAATCTCACCTCTCGTGTTCTTTTCGTTTCCGCACTTTCGTTTTCTACACTGTAGGGAAAGGATCGCGCCGGGAAAAAGATCTGCAAGGGAAGAGCGGAGCTCGATGATATCATTATCATCGTCGGGTCCCCGACACCGCTGGATTCTTGCTACCAGTGGAAGACCTTGGATCGAATCCGACGCGGAGTGTCGCCTTCAGTTGTAGCGGCCCGAATTCAAAACGCGCTGCTCTTGAGCGGAGCTGGAGTCGCCGCCGGAAGCTCCTTCTATCGTTACCCTAAAATCAATGACTGGTTTCTCATCTTCTTTTGATTTTCAAACTTATACGAAGAATCCATACCCTAAACTAAAATAAAAGACAGATGTTGGGACTCGCCGACAATGATTCTTCCTTGTCACCACCGACGTTATTCTTCCTTCTCACCACCGGCCAACGTTGATTCTTCCTTGCTGGCGTTGAGTCCAACTTAAAGTTGATAGTTGAAGTTCATTCTTCGTCCGTATCATAAAACCACAAATTGAAAGCCCACAATGCTCGCAATCTGAATTCCTCCCCTCTCACATTCATCGCCATTTCCAGACACACGCCAAAATCCCACCACAACCACCACTACTCCCACCCTGTTCGTCCATAGCATTCTTCCCTTTTTCGCTTCTCTCACAATCTGAAATTGTAGTTGTAGATCATTGTAAAGTTTGGGTGTTTCAATAACTATAATTTATACGATTGTTAGTTAAATGATTGATTTGAGTATAATGTATGATAAAAATTGATACGTGACTAAAACGTAAACAACAATTAATGAATGTATATAATTGCAATTATAATTATTAATAATAATTAACTTAAATAAAAATAATCAATTGATTAATAAGTGTGAACGCAGGCGTACGCAGTACGTCAGGTGTATGCTATATATATATGGCAAAGGCTAGCGTACGCCCGGGCGTACATTAGATTACCGTACGCCAGTTTGAGTTTTTCTATTTAGATCACGAATTAACCGGAGTTTTGGGCATGATACTATACCCTAACCACTAATGGATAAACCCCAGTCCCTAGTTTTCTAACCCAAATCCTGAGATTCGTTTAATCTTAAAATGAAAATCAACAATAATTTCGACGAATAAGAACCGTCGATTTTCATTTCAAGATTAATGAATATTATGCTTTGGATTAGTGAATTGCGAACTGAGGTCCACCCACTAGGGGTTAGGGTATAGTATCATGCCCCAAACTCCGGTTAATTCATTTTCTAGATAGCAAAACTCAACGGGCGTACGGTAGGCTAGGGTACGTCCGGACGTACGCTAGCCTTCTACGGTACCCCGGGTGAAATCCGGAGTACCACATACCTTGAGTATGAAAACGCTATCTAGACCTCGAATTAGCAGGATTTTTGGACATGATACTATACCCTAACCCTTAATGAGTGAACCCTAGGTCCTAATTATCTAAATCATAAACTACAAACCCTAAGATGGTGCATTGATTTTTTTGCCTATATTTGGACGAATCATAACCGTCGATTATTGTTTCTAATTAAATTGATCTTGGGTTGTAAGATTTAGAGAATTAAGACCTAGATTTTGATCAACCGATAATTCGATGGACCAGAAACCCAATGAACCTATAACCAGACTGACTCGTAACACAATGAACCCGTAACCCGACTAACACACAACCCGATTTAAACCTAAACCCGACTAACCTACAATCCGGTGCACACTAAACTCGACTAACCCGTAACCCAATTGAACCCAACTCAAACCCGCCCGATTGACACCACTTTCCCTTCATGTCTCCTGATAGGTAAAGGTTACGATCCCATTCCTTGAGGTCGAGAGTAGGAAAGATGAAGAAGATTGGTGCGGCGGATGCTAGTGGGTGTCGGAATTGTGGTTGAATTTGGAGTCCGGTTGATTTCAATCGAACTCTTGTCGGTTCTGATGGTGATTTGACGTCCAGGAGGAGACGCATGATATTACACTGGCGACAAGAAGAGGTTAAAGAAAAGAAACAACTGCCTTAGTTGAACATCACACACCTCATAATTTTTGTTGAAAGTTGATAATAGAGGGGTTTTTTTGTGTGTGTGGATTTTAGCCGTTTATTGAGCTATTCTTAAATGTTAGCCATTCATTTAATATAATGGTGTGTGGCTGTGTGTTTTGCTGCTAATTCCTCATTCCAGTACTGTTAAATGATTGTTTTCGGGCTGATAATGTTTTTTTCTTCTTCCCGGGTGGAGGGTGAGAAAAAAAGAAGGTTGTCAACCGTCGGTTGACCCATTTTGACGCAGATTCGTTGAAAAAATGGTCATACACGCTCATCGGGTGAAACTGTTTCAAAGTTGCCGGGTTGGACGTCACACCGTGTCGTTTTTCTATTTAGTTTGTGAATTGCCTTTATTTTCGGTTTTCCTAGGATCTTTGAAATTCTAAATTGAACATTGATGTTATATAAACGTGTATTTTTACTATACGATGGATCCAAGTACGTATACACATTGTTATTTTTGTGTAATTTATATGTTAATACTTATATGCCAGATGTGATTCGACATAATTTATAAATGTGTAAACAATATAATGACTTTTTTCATATATCCGCGGATTAAAGGGAGCTAAAACGATTGAACCGGTAAGACGGTAACCCTCAACCCACTTGTTCGACTAGGTCAACTAGCTATGACAACATCGGAATGAAGAGTGGAGGTGCTGTGAGTTGGAAAATAAAAAATTATTATTTTTAATTGTCACGTAATAATATACTAAAGTGAGATAGTATAGACAGTGACACGGGATATAAAGTGAGATAGTACAAATGTGACCTAATTTAGCCATGAACAATATTTCATTAATGGAATCCCCTGGGTATACCTATCTGCTGTATAGCAATGACGACGAACGAGAAGAAAAACAAAATTTCATCAGAAACCAGCACAGATAAATTAGCCGAATTTCCGACGGACAATCTTCTCATGCTGCTTCCCTCCCCTCTTCCATTTTCCTTGGTCTAAAATAGGCGGCCCAAGAAAAAACACAATAAAATAATCGACCTCAAAATGATCAGAAGTTCCACAGAAACGAGGACTGCGAATAACCCCCGTCGACGTCGTACCCGACCGCCTCGTCGTCGTGATGGTGGTAGTAATAATCCCCATTAATGACGTCATTATTACCATCCAAAACCATGTGGTGCGGGTCGTGGTAATAATCCCCGCCGCCCATATTCATATCCACACTCATGCTCATATTGTCCATCCCGGAGAACAGCTCAAAATGGTGATCCGACGTCGCAGCACTACCGGCGGCGGCAGCTCCTTGTTCGCGGGAATCCAGTATTCCCAAAAACGACCAATCTATCGTCGTATCACTGCTGCTGGTGGCGGCGGCGACACGTGCGGGCCCATCCTCATCCGACCCCGCATTGGAGTAGCAGTAGGGCCCCCCGCCATTTCCCGCACGTGGCGATAATGTTGTTGTTCTAGTGGCTTCTTCTTCTCCTCCTCCTCTTGTTCCTTGCGTAGTGGCATGGTTGTAATTATTGGCGTACCGGACCGCCAGGGCCTGGATCTCCTGCGGGCCGAGCGACCGAGCCCGGCCCGAGTCGGAGCCGAGGAGGGCTGGCGTCGGGGGGTCGTCGGGGAAGTTGAAGCGGGCGGCGGGCCCGCGGAGGCAGAAGAGGGCGGCGTCGAATGCGCGGGCCGCTTTTTCCGGGGAGGTGTAGGAGCCGAGCCATATCCGCTCCCGGCTGTTGGGGAGGCGGATCTCGGAGACCCACTTCCCCCACTTCCGCTTCCTCACGCCTTTGTACTTGGGCTCCGGCTCAGGCTCGTTGTAGTACTCCGATGACGATTGCTGGTATTGTTGTGGTGCCGGCGGCTCCGTCGACGCCATTGTTTTTTTTTTTGGGGGGGGGTAGTTAGATTGAGCTGGAGATGCTTGGTGATTGCTTTTGGATGCTTCGAAGAGTGGTTTGATGGTATGGAGAGTGGAAGGGAGTGAGTACTGCGCTATATATATATACGTGGAGAAGTCAGAGAGAGGGGTGGGGTAAGTTGACCGATGGTTGATGATGGAGAAGGTCAAAGCGTGTTTTTATCGAAGGAAGTCAGATGGAGTGTAGATTCAGCGGACACGTGTCAGGTCAGGACCCCGATCGATGAAGCTTGATGAAACGAGGGCTATATTTTTCGGACGTCATATAAATAGCCTAATCCATGAAATCGTATCGTACCGGCGGTTCAACTACGAAATACCAGTATTGAAGGCTAAATCGGTAGGCGGTATTTAACGATCTAACGGTTGAACTACGGTTAAACCATGATTTTACCATAAAATACCCTACTGTTGACTTTCCCGATACGATATCCGGTACGGTTTTATGGACTATGATAAATAGAGGAAGACTGGACGAGAGCGAGGGAGGGAGGGAGCGAGAGACTGAGTATATAGAGGAAATAACACGTGGGGATTTGCGGCCTCATGTCCCTATTCCTTTTCTGGTGGGCTGGTGGGGTTTTGGTGGTTAATCATTGCATTTTGTTAATTTTCTTACGGGCCTACTCATCATTCCAAATTTAGCTACACACAAAATGAAGAAGAAGAAGAAAAAAAAAAAGATCACTGTTTAGCTCTCATTCTTTTTTCTTTCCCAGGTGGTTTGGATAAGTTATTTTACATATTTGATACGTTGGAATTATATAAGGTGGTATTTATACTTTATAAGATATTTCAAGAGAAATTTTATAATCCTCATATTTATTTTAGTTTGTATTATAGAGAAATCTGTATTATAATGTTTATTTATACATAAAAAAATGTATACAGAAAAATTTATATGCAAAAACTAAATTATACTGTAATATCAAGTTACAAATTCAGTTTGAACTCTCATTTTTTGGTAAGTGAAAGCACCGATGTGTTTATGAGCATAACACAAAGCTCGCATGAGATTTTTATATGAGAATTGTATTGTTTGACTAAACCTTTCACATGAACTATTTGATTGTGATATTTTGAATAATTTAATAAATTATTGGAATCAAAATAACTCACAACAATAACCCATCGGAACAACCTATTAATGCGCCTCTGGAGCTCATTTCAAACCGAGTAAGTACCAAGTGGTTAGCTACAAGAAAAACTGGATGAATCTAAGATATGAACCTTTTGTAATTTTTTTAACCCTTGCTAATGTTTAATATAGAAAAAATCCTCCTTCTTCGATCTTCTTCTTTTGAGTCCGACTTCTAGCTCGGTATTGTCGTGGGGGATCTTCCTGCCGGTGACTCGCACTTAACTACACCACAAATTAATCCCGACTAGAGCCCAAGTTTTTAAACTCTAGCTGGGTACAGTATAGAGCAAGTATTTAAATTGTCAACCCGGGCCGATCCATGTACCCCTACTTCAATTGCTTAGGTTGTTATCTTGCAAAACACTTTTGGGTTTAACACTATGAAAACTACAAACTAAACTAGCAAGAAAAAGTAAATAAAGGAAAAGTCTAACTAAGGGAGCTTCACCCTAGAGTTGCTTCCCCCTAACTAGCTACCATGACTCGTTGGATTGAATGGAGTCGTGTGGCGTAGGTGGTTGTGAATCGCGGGGGTGAGCAACTAGTGATCGATTTGTCACAGAATCAAATCACTAGCGATCGATTTGTCACGCGATCGATCCAATCGCAAATCTAGGGGAACCACTAGGAGGAGCAACTAGTGGTCCATTTGTCACAGGATGGATTCACTGGAGGTCGATTTGTCACGGGATCGATCCCCTCACTCAGTCACTAGTGGTTGCCAAGGTCTCTCCCTCGAACCGGAGTTTGAGCGGCTTAATCACAACCAACCTAGATGCAAACCGGTAACCGCAAACTGCAGAGGAATGCAAATATGGTCGCAGACCACAATCTCGATTGCTAAACCGAGGTAAACATAATAGGTCATGTCACTCGGCCCTCTCGGTTTAGGCAATCGGTGGTGACTTACTCCCTCACTCAAGTCAAGGTTAGACAGCTTAATCGCGATAAACCAATTTGCTTAATCCAAAAAAATAATGCATTATGGACAATGCATGCATTGTAACTATCCCAACCAAGCAATCAGCAAAACCAAACAACCTAAACTTGTATTGTTCAAAATGCATCATTTTTTTAATGTTTTAGCAGAGACAATACATCGATTGTTTCTATGATGTGACAAACTATCACTCATAATGAGTGATTGTTATATCTTTAGCTTTTAGCCGAGATTGTTGGATAGTTGAATTGAGATTATTTTGTCTCAACTATTAGCTAATGTGACAATCACACATACCAAACACTGTATTTTACAATGCATCAAATTCATCAATCATGTATAATATTATACATGTATTCACAACAATACATCTATCTAACAATCAAAACTTCCAAATGACCCCTGATAGAAAATAGATTATAAGGATCATCTCTTACATTAAGGATATTACTGAGCGAAAGAGAAAAATTAGAAAGGCAGGCTTGATAAGAGCCAAAGTGAGAGTTTGGAAGAGTTTTACCTTTTTCACAAGTGAATTGATCAGTTTCCTTTTATTCTGAATGATGAGCAAGATTATCGACACCCGACGTTAGTTGATGATTTGTGTCAGAGTCTAGAACCCACTATTGATGTTAAAAGGTTAGATTATAGATAAGGCTAGATGAGAATGTAGGCCGCAAGAGGATTTCTGGGTGTATATGTGACTGAAAATTTTGGTCTAGTGTTGCCACGACCACAACAATTATAACAAATAACACCTGATGGGTGAAAGAGCCAAGCTCCAAGAAGACCCACAAAATTTGTGGACTTGCCAAAAGAAATAGAAAACATGAAGATTAGGGTGAGAGAATCCACCACATATTTAGAAGGTGAAAGAGTGATCCAAAAATTACCAACTGACCGCGCTCATACCAGGAACAATATGCAGGGTTAGGTTGACAATGATGAATTATGGAGGTATGCAAGAAGAGCCATCGAGGTGACCCAAAAGATAATGTGAACGGCTATTTGCCGCCAAGCAAATTGCTATTTGCCGCCAACAAAAAAAAAGAAAAAAAAAAATTGAATTCAAATTTTGAATTTTCCCTCCCTTCCCTTCCTTTCATTCTATAAATTCGGATACCCATGAACATTTGACTCATTCCAACAAAAACTTCTGTTGACGAGCCCAGTACCTCCGTCGCCGGCACCGTTCTTCCATCGTCGGCTAACCTCCCGTCGCCCTCAATCGTCGGAAAACAAGTAAGTTTATTTTTTCCGACCAGTTTTCCAGTTTTCCGGCGAAAAACAGGGTGGGCCGAAAAAAATTTGCGGCCGGAGCGTCGGCCGGCCGAAAAAAATTTCCGGCCGGTGCGACGGCCGGCCGAAAAATTCTTTCGGCCCGGCGACGCCGTGGCCGCAAATTTTTTTCGGCCGGCCGACGCTCCGGCCGCCCAAAAAATTTCCGGCGGCGTGTTCGTCGGCCGGCCGAAAAAAATTTGCGGCCGCTGCGTCGCCGGGCCGAAAGAAATTTTCGGCCGGCCGTCGCACCGGCCGAAAAATTCTTTCGGCCCGGCGATGCCACGGCCGCAAATTTTTTTCGGCCGGCCGACGCTCCGGCCGCAAATTTTTTTCGGCCCGGCGGCGCACCGGCCGCAAAATTCTTTCGGCCCGGCCAGTTTTTGTATTTAATTTAATTTAATACGATAATTAATTAATAAATAAATAAATACTTAATTGGTTAGTAGAAATTAGCAATTAGTGTTAATATTTATTTCAGTTGGTTTATAAATGTTTTTTTTTGTAATAGGCATTTGAATGTTTAATTACTTAGATTAGTTAATGGAATTTTAATTAATTAAGAATTGATTTAACAATTAATGTTAATATTCAGTACATTAGTTAATAGAAATTTAATTTAATTTCTTTCGGCCCGGCCAGTTTTTGTATTTAATTTAATTTAATACGATAATTAATTAATAAATAAATAAATACTTAATTGGTTAGTAGAAATTAGCAATTAGTGTTAATATTTATTTCAGTTGGTTTATAAATGTTTTTTTTTTGTAATAGGCGTTTGAATGTTTAATTACTTAGATTAGTTAATGGAATTTTAATTAATTAAGAATTGATTTAACAAATAATGTTAATATTCAGTACATTAGTTAATAGAAATTTAATTAATTTGTGATTAATTAACAATTGATGTTAATATTACATTAGTTAATAGAAAATTAATTAATTAGTGCGCATCTAAGTATGATATTTTGTAAATTTGTAGATAATTAGATATGGATGATGCGGGTCATGCGGGTGGGGATGAGTTGAATAGATTCAATGGTAGGGTTGTTGATGTATCAGCACGAAGGAAGAATAAGGAGAATAAGCGCTCTCGAGATATTGGACATCAGTCACAGGCAAATTTAGGGGAGGATGAGTTAGAGGCTCCTACTGTAGTTGCTCGTTCGGCATCACGGGCGTCTGGTTCCCATGGGAGGAACCAGGGTGCTGCATCCAGAGTGGTCTCGGCTGAGTTTGATGAGGACGATAGTGATGAGGATATCGAGGTCCCTCCACCTACGCGTGGACATGGACGAGTGTCGTCTCGTACGGCAACATCACGTCCTGCTTTGTATAGGGACCGAGCTGGGCGCTTCGTACCACCTGCTCGTCAGGAGACAGAGAGCTCGGGGACTGGACGGAGTAGGGGAGGACGTTCGAGTGGTCCTCCACCGTGGGAGCTTGTTGGTGAGTGTCCTGGTGGACCTACGGATCCTAGCCTCATTAGGAGCTTTCGTGGACACGTTGCCTATGCGCTTTGGACGGGGGCTGGAGATCGAGGGGTCATCAGTTGCTACAGCCGTACATCGGCGGTTGCTTATTTGAGTAGCTACGTGTTTAGTCATGTTGAGGCGGAGAATCTGGTTCAGCAGTCAGGTCTCCAGCACCTGATGTACTCTATGTTCCGCAGGATAGCGATTGACGATGCTTTGATCTCAGCTTTTGTGGAGAGGTGGCAGCCAGACACGAACACCTTCCACTTGCCTTTTGGAGAGATGACGATCCTCCTCCACGATGTTCAGTACTTACTGCAGATTCCTGTTGAGGGACGACTGATGAGTAGGAGTTCTGCGCAGCTTGACCATCCGGAGGCGGGTTTGTGTGCGCTTCTTGGGATGAACTCGGAGCAGTTGAGTGGTCGTACGGAGGTCCCTGGATATAATAATAGGGGTAAGTGGTACGAGAAGGGTGGTTTTCTTGCAGAGATGGCGTCCAGATACTTGCAGAGCCACGGGACACATGTGACAGAGGCGCAGTCGTACTTCTTGTTGTTGTTGGGGTCCACTTTGTTTGTGGACAAGAGTAGAGACAGGGTTCGGTCGGTGGTGAACCTATTTTTGGACGAGTTGGAGGAGTTAGATCAGTATACTTGGGCGTCAGGTACACTTGCTTGGTTGTACAGATACCTTGGTCAGGCGTCTCGTGCTGGTGCCAGGGGGATGGCTGGTTGTCTCACACTTCTGCAGTGTTGGATCTACGAGTACTTTCCGGGTTTCAGGCCATCTCACTTCGAGCCTGCCGCCGTTGGACCTGATGATGCTTGGGCTTCACGATGGATTGGGCAGCCGGCACCTGGTTCTGTGGCGGATCCCAGTGTGAGGTTGGCGTTCTACCGTCGAGCTCTTGACAG